GCTTTGCTGCTTTTGCACGTGTGTAATCGCACCCCTCTCCCCTCCCCTTTCCCCCGCCCCCTGACACATACACACCGGCCTCCTGCCTTTGCCCCCTCCCCCTTTCTGTCGTCAAATGCACAGGATCACGAGTACTGGACGACGGTTCACGCCGGACAGCAGGTTGCGTTGCGTTGGGGTGGGAGGGGGGGAGGAAGGGGGAGAGGGAGGGGGGAAGGGTGTGTGTGAAGGGGTTGGAATGTGGTGGCGCCGGGTGTCGGTTTTGTACTGTGTGTAACTCGGAAGTCAGGACGGATTGACCGACTGAAATACACGGGACAGACACCTTCAAGACCGACATTGGGCCGTGGTAAGCAATGCCTGAGGAGGAGTTAAGGGGGTTCAAATCCGCTCTGTGTGTGTACCTGTACCAGCTGCTGCTGCACTTCTCCCCCCCCTTCCCTTCCCTTCCCTTCCCCAGGAGGACCTTCTTGCCGCCTGGCGAGCTGACGCTGAGGAGTGGCGCAGGCGGCTGGTGGTGGCGGACCCCGTCATGCGAACTACTTTACCGCAGAAGCCCGCCAAGCCCGCGCAGACGGACCGCCTGGCGCCGTTGCTACATGTGAGGCGGGGGGCGAATATGAGCGAGCATTCATTCACCTTTGCTGTTCAGATCTCACCTGCAAAACACACCGTGTGGCATGACTTGTCTTTTTTGACGACCTCTCTCCCCTTCCCTGGGCCCCACGCACTTCCCCCTCTCTGCTCTACTGCTCTACTGCTCTACTGCTCAAGCAAGGAGGCTTGGCCGTGTTAGGATTACCAGCCTGGCTAGCCTTAGCAGCCTACCTCTACCTGGTACTGGGCTGAGTGTACCTAACCCTCTCTCCCACCCCAACCTCTCTCATCTTCCCCCTTCCTGCCCTGTCCTGCCCTCCGCCTCTTTGGCCCTGTTCCCCCACTCCCGGCCCCTTGCATACGTATTTCCCCTTCCGCCCGCCTTGCCTTTATCCCCGCTTTTAGGGTGATCCCATCAAGAAGGGGTTCAAGATATCGCACGCACCTCCCGCGCCCATAAACTCCCAACTGGCGATACCCTGGACCGACCCACATGCGCCGCAAACTACCACAACGACGAACAACAACAACAGCAGCAGCAGCACCAGCAACACAGGCCGTGGTGGAGGGGGAGGCAGCGGAAGCGGAGGCAAGGTGGACAAGGCCAAGCTGGCGGCACTGGGTGAGCGCACTGAGCAGCGACTGCGACCCATGGGTCGGGACTCGGGTGGCGGGTACATGTGCAGAGGGCCAGGAAGACTGCTTTCACTTTTCCCAGGCCTAGGTTCCCGATCTATGAAGCTAACCCCAACTTAAACACGTCATGCTGCGGCCTGCACATGCACGTGTGTAATTGGCTGGTGTAGTGAAGTGTTTGTGTGGGCAGTGACGACCATGACCTTGTCCCGGGCGCCGGAGGTTCCCTAGAGGGGGCCATGTTGAGAATCGGTCATGGTGATTTTTCTCGATCCTGAGATGATGTATTAAGACGTCCTCTTTCGCAGCTTTTACCCGCCATACAATGCCGCGTCTGCAAACTGCTTTTGATGTTGGGCCTGCCCTCCCTCCATGCCGCCTCCAACCACCTAACCGACCAACCAACCAATCAACCAACCAAACAACTCCCAGGCAACAAGGACTTCAGGAATACCAACGCGAAGCCCAAGATCGCACTCCACAAGTTGCCGTACAACCAGAGCTGGAATGCCTCTGTGCACGACAAGTACTACGAGGGCAGTTGACTGGCCAACGGAGTACCGGCCGTTCGATAGACCGATAGACTGATTCGCACTGCATTAGCGCATTGGCGCTATTCTTTTCCTGCCTGGAACGCTCCTTCCTTGGAAACGATTCTGTTTCCATCAGTATCGCACGTTCGATGGCCCAGGAGCACCGGGGGTAACATGGTGGACTACGAATCATCCATCTAGTTATTGAAGGCCAGGAAACCGATCAGGGAACCGACCGAGCACTGTGATGTCCACGTCAGAAACACGTGCCCTGGGATTTCATGTCGCGTACGGCACATAATAAGCCAGGCGACGCGTAAGAACGACATCATGGACTGCGCCGTACGCGACATGAAATCTCAGGGCACGTGTTATATATATATATATATATATATATATATTTCCTGAGATAGCTTAGCCACGGGAAGAGAACACGACCGAAGGCAGCGTCTGTATGTCTGTATGTCTAAATGTGTGAGCGGCTTCGCCGCTTGAGCGGAGGGTCGGTGTATTGCCCGGTAGGCGCTGGCTTTTTTCAGGGTTGGTTTGTTGAGGTCATCTCGCCAGATCATCGCCGCAATGTGAGAAAAGCAAATTGATTTCTTTTTTAGGAGGGGGAGCATGTAGAGGTCTGTGGGCAGTCGAAACTCTCCGGATTGCCCAACCAGGTGGCTTAGGAGGAATGGAGCTACGGACGCTTGCAACTGGGTCCAGCCATACTCGCACGTACACCCACACCCACACACTCACTCTCTCTCTCTCTCTCACACACACACTCTCTCTCTCTCTCTCTCTCTCTTTTACGCAACGCCAACGGTGACGAGTGGGCGACCTGGTGGTTGGGGAGGAGGGAGGGTTCCCGTGTGGCTGACTCTGTTTGGGCCCCCACCCCCCCTGTGGTACACGGTATGTGGAATGGGGGCGGGGTTGGTGGGTAAACGGTGGGTTGCCAAGGTAAGGGAAGCTGGAGGCCAAGTCCAAGGTGAGGTTGGAGCCAGAAGGAGGGAGGGGCAGAACAAGCTGGGAAGGATCGAGCTGGGAGTCGCACGGAGAGCGGGTGATTCAGCCTCAATGGATGGTAGCTGCAGGTGTGTCTGTTGGCCAAGAAACAGCATTTGGGTGTTCTGCAACGCAAAGGTGCAGGTGGGGCGTGCTGCGAACCGTGCTGTTGCTTCCGCTGGGGCTGGGGCTGCTGCTTTGCTGAGGGATGCCTTTGCCTGACGTTTTAAAGACAGCCTGAACGCTAAGTGGCGAGCAGGGTCTAATCCAGTATACGTGCGGATTGGTTAGAATGTTGTGTCAGAGGCTCTGTGTTGTTTGGGTTATCTGCTATATTGCAGCTTCAACCAAGGGACTTTTCTTGCCTTGCTGGGCACCGTGGGTGGGTGTTTTAATCAAGTCACCGGAAGCCACAAAGCCTTCGGCCCATACTCGCCCAGATTTCAGGCTCGAGCTTCCAGATATCGTCCCCCGTCCAGTGGGAAGCAGTTCCCGCTCCTATCCCCTCGGTTTGGATTATTGGATCGTCTAACGCGCGTTCCCAACTGGTTGCTGCGCAGCAAATGAGCTAGTATCCTAGAAATTGGTGAATACCTGGTAAACGTGTTGCTCGAGAGCTTGGCAGGGCACGCAGCCGGTGGCATCGCACTGCACCATTGCATATTGAGATAGGACGGCGAGTACGGCAAGGGACGTACGTCAACGCGGCAAAGTTCAACCCGCCCCTGCCCTCAGCTGGTGTATGTGCTAAGAATCGCATGCGTCCGTTCTGATTCGTGGTGGCCAAGCTGCCTCTCAGCTGCAATTAGTTTGAACTTCTCCAATTGGCGGTGCTGAATAAGGTCACCCAACAAAATTTGACAAACTTGTCTTTTTAATGTAAATCTGGTATTGCCTATTTGTTTGGACAATAGTTTTTAAGCTTTCGTTTCAACCCAGGCTAGCCATGGCACGACCCTCGGACAGCCTAAGCGCCATCTGGCATCAAACCGAGACCGATGTGGAGGCCTTGAGATCACATATTCAAGTAGTAAGTCAAAATGCCTTTGCTTCTCCTAACAGCTGTTTGTCGTGCCGCCGTTCGCTTTCCTGCTGCCGCTACGGCTGCCAAAGTGAACAACAGTACCGCGATACCCGCCCACATCACCACGTCGGCCGGAGGCGGGTCATGCCTCCGTGTAGCACCTTCGCTCCACAATGGTAGTCCAACTCCTGACCTGTACGGCTCCACGGCTGGGCCGCCTTTCGGCGTATGTATTACGCCCATAACTATGCTGCAACTTTATTGAAATACTGCCTTTCGAAAAATAGTTCACCTCCCCATTTGTGGACTCTACTGCGCATATTGCATGACCGCGCTCACAGCTACTCAGAAAGCAGTATCGTACACCATAACCCTCCCGTAACATCCGTCACCACCACCAGCATCACGGCCTTCTTCACATCACACCATATGCACGCAGTCACGATATACCACCAACTCAGCCACCGTTTCCCCCTATTTATCCCGATCGGTTCGCACCCAGGTTCTGCAAGGCGGTGACGAGGCGGCGGAGCGCCAAGCCTTCGAGAACATTCGCGTACTGCTAACCCGGGTCAAGATGTGTGCAGCACTGGCGAGGGGCGCCTCCCACGAGCAGGAACGTCATCACATGGTACGGCAGCAGCAGGCCGTACAGGCCGTACAACAGCAGCAGCAACGGGCCGCGAGGGTGGTGGCCGTGGCGCAGCAGGCAGCTGCGCGGCATCAGGCACAGGCGCAGGCTCTGGCGCAGCAGGCGCAAGCCGAGGGGCAAGGGCGGGTAGCAGCCGCAGGGTCGGCGCAGGGAGCGTCATCGGCATCACCGCCAGCAGTGGCGCCAACCACTGCCGGGGCAGGTCCAGGGGGCCCGCCAGCGGGGCCGTCCACACAGCAGCAGCAGCAGCAGCCAGCGGCGGTGGCGCAGCAGCAGCAGCAGCAGGAGCAGCAGCAGTCGGCCCAGGCTCAGACAACACACCCGACGGCAGCAGCGACAACAGCACAGCAACAGCAGCTGCAACAGCACCTCCAGCAGCAACTGCATTTACAGCAGCAGCAGCAGGCAGCAGCCGCTGCAGGGGCAGCCGCCATGGCGGCGGCCGCGGCGGCGGCGGGGAGGCCGCAGACCGGCGGCATGGCGGCGGCGGCGGCAGCTGTGGCCGCGGCGGCGGGATCCCAGCGGGCCGTGTCCGCAGCAAACCCGTTTTCCGCAACCGTTGTTGCCCACCCCGGTGGCTCCGGCGGGATTGCGTTTGCGGTGGGTGGATGGGTGGGTGCGGTGCGGTGACATGGGCGGGGTAAGGAGGTAATATGACTTTATGCGACCGAGTCCTGCCACCTACAAGTGAAGAACCAAACCAGCTGGCTAAGAGAGGTGAAAGGGCTTCTTCTGCTGACCTCCTGAAGTAAGCGACGGAGCACATCCTTGATATGTCGCAGCTGCGGAAGCTGTGGACGTGGCTGAGGTGCTGTCTGTGTGTGTGTGCGCCGTTGTGTGCCGCCTCCGTACCGTACCCATTTCCGCATTTTCATTCTTCTCCATTTACCTTTGCTCCGCCGTTATTCGGACCCTTAATAACCCCTTATAACTCCGTACTCCTCAGCGCGCGCGGGGGCCCCCTGCCTCTTCTCGGGCCGTGTTCACCCACCCGGTTCTATTTTACCCGCCGGTGTCTCGTCTCTGTGTGTGGCGCTGAGGAGCCCCACCGTGCCATCGCTCTCCCCCTTCCCCCTACACACACCTACCCCCTACTTTGGGCATCTTGCCAGTTGGTTACTGATGGCATTGTTATCTTTATCATCATCGTTCGATTCCCCCCTCTCCCTCCTTCCCTTCCCGGCACTGCCCCCGCGTTCGCGATTGCAGGTCCCCGTGCCTGCGGGTGCGCGACCTGCGGTGTTTAACCCTCGTAAGTGGTGAAGGGGATGAAAAGAGGAAAAGTGGTGGAGAGGAAGCAAAGAATCAAGTGTCGATATTCCCAAAGCCTTTGGGGGCCTTGCAAAGTCAATAAACCGTTGTTGGTTGGGTGGTTGGGGTAGGACGCCATCCCAAAGGCGGTTATTGACCGTGGAATGGTTGATTTCGGATGTAGGGGAGAGGGAAATAGTAGAGGACTGGCTTAATGAGGAGTGTGTTAAATAGCGGGCCTGACGTATAGACAGACAGACGGACAGACAGTTTTTTTAAGGTGTGATTTCTGTTGTCAACAACAATAGGTGCAATAAGGCCGTCGGATTCACGTCTGGAACTGTACGTAACCCCATGCTCGGTTTCTCTGTTAACTGTACAGCGGCTTTTTATGTTTCCTTCCCCTGTATCGGCCTTGGTTTGCAGTGCTAAATCCGTACGGCACGGTGGTACCGCAGCAAATGGTGCCGGTGCGCCCAGCCGTTGTGACCGGTGCGCCCTTCAGCTCTGCGCAGCTCAGCGCTGCTGCACAGCAGGCGGTGACGCTGCGGGCTCATCAACAACAGGCGGTTGCGGCTTTCTCAGCAGCGGCAGCGGCGGCGGCAGCAGGTGCGGGCGATAGGTGATGCTGGAAGAAGCGCCGGCTGCACAATTGGTCTAAACTGCTGCGTTGGTTTGCTTTTGCAGGATCACAAAATGCAAATCAACCTCCGAAGGGGTGAAGGCGACCGCTCAAAGCAACCAACAACGGACGAGGCTTCGGAGACGAGCCGCTTGCGGGATGTTTTGTTGATGTGACCATTATTCGAGTCTGTCATTTAAGTCTTCCTGCGGTGACCATAATAGTAACCCATTTTAGCAGCCGCGAAGGCTCCTGTGGCTGGGAAAGCTTGGATTTTCGTAGGCGACTGTTGAAGTTTTTCAATTGTCATTAGCTTAGGATCGCTTCGCTCTTCCAGTCTTTCTTCCAATTTATTAATTGTAATAATACTATCCAATTCGTTTTGACATAATGGCGACTCGATTATGCCGAGCTTTTTCTGGTGCGCCGCTGACTGCTAGCCGTGGCCTGCTGCATCGCGCGATCATCAGCTCTTCTCCTTGTGCTTCTCGAACGCCTCATGGATCGCGATCTATTAGGTGCGTATATTGCGGGTGGCGGCTCAAATATATGCGAGGCACGCTTGTGGCTCAAAGCCTTAACTTCAACCAGCTCGTATCCTACCACAATTCTTACGCGAAAAGAGACAGAATAATGGTTTGAAATTTATTGACATTTGTGGGTTCAATTTTAATTGCTTTTATGCTTCTGGAAACGTTGGCTTGCGCTGGTGAAATGTAGGACAAGCTCTATAGCACGCCTGACAGCGACTTTGCGCAAGCTTAAGCAAATGGTTTGACGCTTTGATGAAAGCTGCGATGGTTTGCTGAGTTGCTGTGCTTTGGGCTCTATCTGCACGTACTGTTCTACAAACCTTTCTATACATATATTTGCGTAACAAAAATGCTAATGTATCAGCGTTGCCTGCGCTGTTATGGAACGTGGAAGAACGACTAAATGAGCGCCTTAAGGTGATTCGGTTAGGTCTTAGTTGGATTCTCGAGAGCGAGTAGGTGGACTCCATTTCAGCGTTCTCGCTGGACCGCCGGATGCCGTAAAAAAGCTGTCTCGATGTGGGTGTTGCAAAACACAGACAGCAGTGCCCCGGCGGTCGGGGACACATGTATGTGTGGATAAAATGTGTTAAGTAGGTGGTTACCAAGGAGACCTCACAGTAACCACTTGGTCACTAACAAAAAGCCGAGCGCAAAAACGTTTTAAACGCACAGTGCACAGAGCGCACCAAATATGTCCATCCATTGGAGCGTACGTACCAGCACCTTCAATCTCCATTTTTCACCTCCATTTTTCACGTTCTTCCTGTTTACCCTGTTATTTGACTGCCATCTCCACCTGGGCCGGGGTCAACAGGTCTACCACGTTGGCGGCTCTGCAGGCGGGCATTGTGGGGTTGCCCAACGTGGGCAAGGTGCGCGCCAGGGGACGGCGCTATGGAGGGGGTCCCCAGGGCTAGGTTCGGGGAGGCGCGCATCTCCAGACGTGTGCACACAATGCGAGCCCATGTTCTCTTCTCGCATCTCAAATAGTACTTCAGTAGACACGTGGGAAGAGGGCGAACCGCAGGCGGGGAAAGGGAAGCTTGGGGCCGAGGGGAGAAACGCAAGCCCTCACTGCTCAGGTTGGTCAGGCAACAGCTGCGCTCCGGAACCAGCAGCACAGGCCATGGCCGCCGCCACCACCGCCACAACAGCCTCAACCGAGCTCAGCGTCTTTCGCCGGGGGTACTAAAACTTAAGTAACTTGCACCCACATCCCCAATAACAAGGACACTCGTCCCAGCAGCAGCCCCCCTCTCCCTCCCTCCCTAGCTCCCTAGCTCCCTAGCTCTCCCCACCTTTCACCTGGTATACACACACATTCCCACCGCCGCAATGCCTCTCCTCTTCCCCCGCAACCGGTCGTGCTGTCCGGGCAGTCCACGTTATTCAACGCGCTGGTGGAGAATGGTAAGGCCCAGGCGGCCAACTTCCCGTTCTGCACCATCGAGCCCAATGTGGGCATCGTGCAGGTGAGGGCGGGTGGGATGGGGCGGGTGAGGGCGGGTGGGATGGGGCGGGTGAGGGCGGGTGGGATGGGGCGGTGCGGAAGGCTGGGAGCCATGAGGCTGAGGGCCGGGGTGACGTGATGGGTGAGGAGCCCGCGGCGGCTGGGGCCCTTGGTGGTGGTGGTGCGGGTGGTGGTGCTGGTGGTGGTGCGGGTGGTGGTGTAGGGGGCGGTTGATGACCGCGCAGTCCTGGTCTGGCGGCGTAACCCGTGCCCCGCCCTCACTCCGCTTAAACCACACATATAAATTACACACAAACATACACACAAACACACACATGCACAAACATACACACAAACACACGCAAGGCGTGTATGTGGAAACCCGCGAACAGCGTACACACAAACGCAAACACAAGCACAGAAGAACACGCACTCCTCCTTGCCCCCCCCCAGACCCTGTGATGTACTCTCCCCCCTCCCCCCCTCCCCGCCACCCCATCAGGTGGAAGACCCCCGGCTGAAGGAGCTCAGCGGCATTTCGGGATCCAAGGAAATTGTAAGTACGGCAGTACGGCATGGCTGCATCATCTGCATGCAGAGGATGGAGGGATGGGCGGGGAGGTGAATGAGCGCCATGAGGCCAATGAGTGAATGCCGACCGTATGTCTTGAGTCTGTCTGTATGTCATTATGCTGGGCAGGGCGAGGGGCAGGGGTAGTCGTCCTTGTGGCTCTCCAAAACAGGGCTGTGGTATGTGTGTGTGTGGGGGCGCCTTGGGGGGGGGAGGGGGGGAGTGGCTAGCTATGTAACTCGACTGCGCCACCGCTCACCCAGCAGCTGCAACCCCAGCCCGGCCGGGGCCCGCTGCAGCTGAGCGCTGAGCTCTCAGGGCCCCACCTTCCCCTTGGGGGCCCCGGGGTCACTGCTTCCGCCGCCGCCGGCTATCTTTCACCTGTCCCTACGCCCTGTATGTTTGTGCGTTTGTATGTCTATGTCCGTGTATGTGTATGTGTATGTGTTTCCCGGCAGATCCCCGCCACGGTGGAGTTCGTTGACATTGCCGGTTTGGTGAAGGGCGCCTCCAAGGGAGAGGGTATGGGCAACCAGTTCCTCACCAACATCAGGAACACGGACGCCATTTGCCAGGTGGGTGAGTGGTAGGGGGGGAAGTGGGCGGAGTTTAGGCTCTGTGTGTGTGTGTCATGGCACCTGGTTTTGTGCATGTTTATGTGTATGTATGTCCGTGTGCATCGTGCTCTTACGTCTCCATGAGGGCGGGCGCGTGCGTGCTCGCGGACCTTCCAGGACGGAGCAGGAGCACTTGCCGTACTAGCAGTGTGTATGCCAGTGGCAGTATGTATGCCTGTATGTAGGTTTGCGTGTTTGTGGTAGCGCTCGAGAGCAATAGCGGCAAGGGAGCCGTACAGTGGGTCGCCTCTTCCCCCGGGGGGCTTACGTGTGGAGTTATAAAGAGCTGCCTGTTCGTGTGTTTTCTCGTTGTCGTACTCTCCAACCTTCTCCGACCCCCCACGTGCGGCTTCAGGTGGTTCGCTGTTTCGAAGACGATGACATCATTCACGTCGCGGGTAAAGTGAGTACGGCAACGGGTTTCGGTACGGCAACGGATGGTTTGGTCTTGCGCGACATGGGTGCGTGATGACGGTCGAGTACGTGTTTTATAGCTAGAATCCCGCTGCGATCTAGCTACTAGGGGGGATGTACTCATTAGCTGCGTGATGGGTGTTTTTCCTCTGTGTCTTGGGGCCTATATTGGCAACGAGCAACCCGCTTGTCCTTACATGCCGTACATTTCCGTACCATACAATAGGATCCTGGCTGATGCGCCCTGTCATTCATTTGCCCGCTCCAGCCCCCCTACCGGCGGCAGAACCCAAACCCTGACTTAGGGTCCCTAAGCCCTTCCACAGGCGGCGATTCCTCCCCCCCTCGTTCTCTGGTTGGTCCCAACCTGCACCCCCGCGCGTTCCCCCCAAAGGCGGGTATCTGCTCACTTTTACATCCACATTCACTCACTCGTTCACTTCCGGCGCTGTGGTATTGTCAAGGTCCGCTCTTGCCTTCCTCCTAACCCGGTGTGTGTTTCCCCCCTCTCCCCCCCTGGCCCCCCCCGGCAGGTGGACCCACTGGACGATATCGATGTGATTAATTTGGAACTGGCCCTGGCTGACCTGGGGGTCATTGAGAAGCGGGTGGAGAGGCTCAAGAAGGGTGAGGGGGTGTGGCGCGAGTAATCATGTGCGTGCGTGTGTGTGTGTGTGTGTGTATGTGTAGGGGGGTAAGGGGGGGAAGTGGGGGCTTGGGGGCTGCGATTTCTGCACCCGTGGTGTGCGCGTGTGTGCAACGGCTTGCCGTACAACGATGCTGTTTTGCAGTCGGAGGGTGAAGGAGTGAGGCCAGATGTTTCCCGCCTTTTCGTTGGGCCAACGACTATCGAGGTACGATAAAATCCTTGAAACTGGCCCACATAAGTGCTCCTTAACCACACACACACACACCGACTACTCTCCTGCGACGTAGCTCCTGCGACTGCCCCTGCGACTGCTGCTACTTATAATTCCTGTTGCTGCTGCTCGTACTGCTGCTGCTGTTCATCAGGCAAGAAGTCCGGCGACCAGGCGGAGCGCGACGAGCTGGAGCTGGCGGCACTCGCCAAGATTCAGGCTGCCATCGAGGCGGGTAAGGGCGCCCGCACCGCCCCCCTCACGCGGGACGAGGCGGCGGCGGTGAAGGGCCTGGGGCTGCTCACCCTCAAGCCCCTAATCTACGCGGCCAACGTCGTGGAAGACGACCTCGCAGACCAGGGCGCGAACAACCGCCATGTGCAGGTTTGTACGGGTGAATGCGGGGGCTCTTTCGTACGGGTTCGTTGTGGTGGGCAGTACATCATATACAAATGGGGTTGCGCGAGTTCGGTGCGGGATATGGAACAATCTTATGATCCTTATGTGTTCTGAGCCGATATGAAGGGTTATATATATGTATGTATACACGTATATATGTATATTTGTGTTGTATGTTTTTATATTGCGAGTCTTGGGTTTAACTGTTCCTTTCTTCATTTCACGACACGTGTGTATTAGGACACGGGGGACAGAGGACTTAACAGTGTGTGCTGCCCGGCTAAGCGTGTTGATGTTGATGTTGATGTTGATGTTGATGTTGATGTTGATGTTGATGTTGATGTTGATGTTACGGAGTTTAAGAGCCCAAAGATCGATACGACTGCACCGCTGCGCCGGTCCGCTGCTGTACGACTTAAATAAAAAGCCGTTTCAGCACTTTTATTCCCCTGTCCTCCTGCTGCTGCTGCTCCCCTCATCGTGCTCCTCAACCCGCGGCCCTTTTGGTCCTCCTCCCTCCCCCTCCCCCTTTCCCCCTCCCCCTTTGCCGTCCCCCACCCGCCGCCGTCCTCAGGCCCTCCGTGTGCGCGCTGCCGAGGAGGGCGTGTCCGTGGTGGTGGTGAGCGCCAAAGTGGAGGCGGAGCTGAACGAGCTGCCCAAAGAGGAGGTGAGCGGGCGGGAGAGAGAAAGAGGCTGGGGGCGTGGCTGGGAGCATGGGGGTGTCGGCGGGGGGGGGATTGGAGGTGGAGGGTTGGGCCTTTAGGTCGGGGATGGGAGGGGGAAAAAGGAGAAGAGGGGAGACCGGAGCTAGGACTGAGGCGGGAGAGGCATTTTGGCGTGATGATGTGATGATGTGGAAAATAAAGAAGCGGGGAGAGAAGGAGGCGGTTGGACCCACCATCGCATCGCATTCGCCCTCCAGGTTTCTTTTGTCCGGGCTCCGTCTTTTCCTCCTAACCCCTCTGCCCTTCATTTGTTAAAGCCGGCCAGCTTTCCTTTCCCTGTTGCTTATTCCCATCCATCCACCTCACCATCCTCCAGTCACTCCCCCCCTTCCCCCTTCCCCTGTTCCCCCCTCCAGGCTCGTGAGTGGCTGGAGTCCCTAGGTGTCCAGGACGGCGGGTTGTCCTCGCTGGTGCGAGCCACGTACTCCACATTGGGGCTGCAGACCTACTTCACCACGGGTGAGGGGGGGTGAGGAGGGGGGCTGGGGGAGGGGGGAGGAGAGAGGGGGGACGTAGGGACGGGGCGGGGTGTTCTTGAAGTGGCTGGAGAATTCCGCCAACCACTACCAACCCGCCGGCTACCTACCGGGCCGGGGCCCCACTCGGCCGCCACTCGGGCCGCTTGAAGGGCGAGTACCGGCCTGGGCATTGCGGTCTAGGGTAGAGTGGAGCCACCACCAGCTGTACGTCCGTCACCTTCACCACCACAGGGGGCCCCTTGGGGGCCGAACCCATGAGGGGACTCGGGCGCTGTTCAGGGGGATGTGCCGCAACACGAGAGGAGGTCTTCACCAAGGACCCTCAGTGCCAGTGAAACCCGAACACAACCCGAACACAACGGGAATGTAGGGACCAAGCCACAGAGGAAACACACACACACACATACACCCAGCTTGTGAGTGCTCGTTGCTGGCCCCCTTTGCTGTGTGGCCTCTCGCGCGCGCCTGCAGCCTCTCCGCCCTGACCGCCGCTGCTTCCCCCCTCCCCTCCCCTGGCAGCAGCTTCACTCGTTTGTGGTTCGTGTTTCCCTCCCCTCCCCACCTCCCCCTCCCCCTTTTATAAATCCGGCCCTGACCTCCAGGCGAGAAGGAGACACGGGCTTGGACCATTCGCAAGGGTATGACGGCCCCCCAAGCGGCCGGGGTAATCCACACGGACTTTGAAAAGGTACGTTGGGAAGGGTGGGAGGGTCAAGATAGGAGCTGCGGAAGGAGTAGGGGGAGGAAGGGGGGGAGTTACAAAAAGGGGGCCCCCAGGATATAGAGCAAGAGGGGGGAAGGCGGTGAGGCCTAAGGCAACGCGCAAAGGACGTTTAGGGTTTTAGAGTAGGAAGCCTCAGCTCCGGCAGTAGCAGCAGCGACAAGCCTGCAGTAGCGGTTGTAGCAGTTCGGCAATCTGCACATCCATGTCGTCTAAGGCGAGTTCCGGTCCTCGGCTTTTGCGGCCCCAAACCAACCAAGAACGAACAAACAATCCTATCAATTTCGTCAGATATCAATCCCAACCCACAGGCCTGCTGCTGCTGCGGCTGCTGCTGCTGCTGCTGCAATGGGTGCTGCAACTGTTATCCTTGTTGTTGTCCTTGCTGTTGTTGCGCAGGGCTTCATCCGCGCCGAAACCATCGCTTACAACGACTACGTCAAGTACCAGGGTTACACGGGGGCTAAGGAAGCGGGGGCGCTAAGGCTGGAGGGCAAGGAGTACGTGGTGGAGGAGGGGGATGTCATGCTCTTCCGGTTCAATGTCTGATCATCTGGCCTAGCGTCGTGTGTGGGGGGGAAGGATGTGGTGTGCTGTGCGTGCTTGTGTCTTTTTCGTGGTGGTGGCGGTGGAGGGTTTTTTTTGTTGGCTGTGTTGGTCGCGACCCTGACCACACGAACCAACATGCCCGTGGTGACGGTGCATTACGATTGGTCACGTGACCTGATGCGGATGTTTGGAAAGGTAAGTCAGGGGGCCGGGGGGGCGGGGGGGAGAGAGACTGCGGAGGGGGGGGGCCCCGCTGGCGCGGTGCGGTACGCCGTCTCCATGCACGTGTTGGGGAGGGGGTGACGCTGTCCTGGATGGCCTCCGGACGAGTTGTCTTGAGGCGGAGGCCGAGGCGCGTTTTTTATTATGTGTGAATCCGCGCGCACGTTCGTGGTGCTCATGTACCGCAATTTCTCGGACAAGGGCTTCAGGGCTTTCTGCTTCGTTGCGTCGCTGTGGGTGGAGGGGCACTACATCGACAAATGAACGTCTTCCAGGGCATCGCCGCGGTCGACCCAGGGTTGACCCAAATCAAATTTCAAATCGCCAGTGTTCGGTACCCATGTCGCCCACTCTATCAGTGGGGGGAAGTTGTTACTGAACGGCGGCCGTACCGACCCCGTCCGGTTCTCAAGGCAGCTATATTGAGATGTCAGCAATATCCACTAGCACCTGCAGCCGCCCTTCGCCGACCCAGCTCTAATCTATCTCCCTTCGCCGACCCAGCTCTAATCTATCTCGAGGGTTAAACTTGAATAAATTCAAATTTAAAATTCAAATTTTTTAATTTTTGAATTTTAAGAAGTGAGGGCTCAGAGCAGCGCGCGGGAACCCAGCTGGATAATCCGGTTTACGTCACGAAATCTGATACGAACGCAGCTGCGTGGGTGAAACGGAAGGTTTGCCCGTTGTACGGCGACGTTCGGCCCTGCCTGTAGGAACCCATCTCGCCCTGTAGGCAGAGTGTTGTGCGGGAGATGCGCTCCTTGGAGCACTGCACTCGACTCGATTGGGGTCCATTGTAGCATCTGCGAAGGATGGGCAGTCTAGCAAAGGTTGCCAGACAGTGAGCCGCGTCAAATCCATGAAGTGACTTTTGTGCATAGGACTAAAGCATTTTTAGTGTTAAATAGCACGGTCGGCGGACGACCCGCAAGCTCCTAAGCCCTCTGGGACCACTTCTCGTCGTGAGGCCTTATTAGTTGAGATTAATTGAGGGGCCTTGAGGCAGAGACCCGGGAGCCCATTTCCCGAGGAGTGTACAAGAGTGTGTCCTCACGCGCGCGCGTGGAAAATCTGTTTCGCGTGTGGATTGTGATCGTGCTCAAACGTGTTTACGTAGTTTGGCGTGGACCATTGGGACCATCCTTCAAGAACTACGATGCGACGTGAAGCTGTCCACGGCATTTGACCGTGGTAAACATGCTCTGTCCCAGGGCGCAGCAGCTTTGTGCTCCTTGTGTGGTCGTCGGGTGAAAGACAAACCTATCGCGGCAATAAGTGCACGGCGTGCACGAACAGGCTACACGGTTTAGGCGCATTACAAAGGGACCGTTTCTGCGGTTTAAATCAGCTCCTTGATTTCAGGGTTCATTGCAAGGTTGTGTGTACGCGGCCGCTTTCGGGAAGGAACCGACGCAACGATGTTACGGACCCATCGCCACCCATGAACCCGTCTCCGATATGGCCCCCTGCGCACGATGGCTGATGCCTTTGCTGGTTATGTTTTCCTATGATGGAAATAACCAAGCACAGAAGCGGTATGCGAGTTGCTTTTCCACTGGTAGCCGCAAGTGACCTCTACATGCGCCTCAATATGACTCATGGGTGATGGCGGATTGCAAAGTTGGTTGGTCCTTGGGGTCCTTGTTCCCCGGTCTTCCCTAGGTGTTGTCAAGAAGGTGGGCTGTTGGCATGCTGGAAGCAATGATCTAATGCAGCGTAATCCATGGCATCATGTAAATCCTACTTCGAGAAGAATGAGGTACTGGAAGTAATGCTTCCTGCATGCTTTCGCCACTCTATCTAAGAGAGTGCTGTACACCGGTTTTTTGTACTGTTTACCCATTGAGGGAGTCAATGCCCAAGCTTGAGGTTAATTTTTGTCTTTGCCAACTCGACGAATGTTAACCAGCTCTGCTAACGACTTGCGAGGGATAAGCGCAGTCTAATGTCAGCTGGCCAACAATTTGTTGGGAACGCCAGTGCTATAGTCGAATCCCTTAGGAGCGTTGATGGCAACATTAAGTCGTCTGTGGCGGCCAGCACCACCGGGGCAGTTGCCGCGGTGGTTCGGCAGCCTAGAGCGAGTTCTGCGCCTCGCCGTGAGGAAGCCAGGTATGCTTGGACACACATTTTTCAACCAAATAAGATGTTTCCGTTGCTTTTTGCTTGTTAGGCACGCCTTCTCTGTGGATGCTGCTTAGCGATTTTGCTGAGGCTTCCAACTGTAACGCGGCATGTACGCAGGGCTGTGGATCGCCGGTTTTCAAGTGATGTTGTTGTAACCAGCACGAAACACGTCGCAAAGCCATGGAAGCAGGAACGCGCGGCCATCGAGCGGCGGGTACATTCGCAGACAGGCGAGCAGGGCGGCGAGCTCAGGTTAACGCACGAGCGATTGCAACAGTATGCGGCAGCGCACGCACGGCTCACGGCGCCAGCGCGACCCGGTCCACGCAGCACTGCAGGTAGCACCTTGTTGCGAAAAATAACGAACCTCGCCGCCCTGGTGCCGTCGCTCCCGCAACCCCAGCAGCTCGGGCCCGCGTCCCCAACTGGGGCAGTTGCTGCTGCTGCTGCCGTCGTACGCACCGTCTCATCCGCGCCAGTGTTGTCCCCCGCAGCGCTGGCGGGCGCGCGCCTGGCCGTCACCACCCCGGGCATTCCCCTCCCTGGCATGGGTGCACCTTCTGGGCCGCGCCCCACCTCTGCTCAGCGGCCCCTATCCCCCCGGCAACTGCTCCAGCGGCTCATCAGCTTCCCGCAGGGCCACATGGCACAGCCGCTGCAACAGCAACAACAGCGGCAGCAGGGCGCACCCCCGCCGGATCGAGCTTTCGGGCCCCGCGCCGCAGACTACCCAGCGCGCCACGCCTCCCCCCGCCCCGCCCTCCTAGCCAGCTACAGCTCTGGGGCGAGTAATGGCAATGGCAATGGCGCTGACTACTCCTGGCAGCCGCCACAACATGCGCCACACCCGCCTAACAACGCAAAACAGCGGCTGAATGACCCGCGGGTCATGTCTGGCCGCGGTGGCGGTGCTGCTGCATTGCACACTAACATCTGGATGGCACAGCAGCAGCAGCAGCAGCACACGCAGCAGAGTATACCGGACAGTCCGTTGAGTTCCCCAGCTGGTCTCCGGCCAGGGCAGGGCCAGGATTATCACGGGCAAGGGCACGGGCAGCACGACTGGGAGGTGTTGCACAGTCCCGGGTGGGGGGAGTCTGCGGCCGCAGCGGCGGCTACGGGGCAGGGTGGCGCGCGGGACGCGATGTTGAGCAGCCCGTCAGGTTCGCCGCGGTCGAGGTCTCCCACTCCCCTGCTGCCGAGTCCACACCCCCAACCACATCCTCAACCCCAACCACTTCAGCACCCTCAGCCACACGGTAACGACCTACTGCCGGCGCTGCTGCTGCTGCCAACAACACCGCAAACAACGCAGCAGCCGCAGCAGACGCCGCAACTGCAGACTGCAGCGCATGCTGACGGCTGTACACAGCTGAATCAAGACGCGAATACGACCAGTCCCCACCACCATCCCCACCACCACCATCCCCACCACCAGCAGCACCAGCAGCACCAGCAGCAGCGGCCGCCCTCCCCGCAAGACCGGCGGCTCCGGCCCTGGACACCTGGCCCCCGCAGGCGACCTCAGAGCTCCGGTCCCTCGGCATCATCACCCACCCGCTGGCCGGGGGCCCAGCAGCAGCAGCACCAGCCGCAGGGGTTGCTGGCCGGGGGGAAGCCCGGGGCCGGCAATGACGTGGTGGTGGTTGGGTTGCGGGACGTACCGCCCTCCCAACTGCCGTTTGCCCGGGCAGTGGTGCAGCCGGAGGGGGCCGGAGGGGGACCCCGGTTCGAGGGCGGCCTGGTGCGGGCCGGTGGTGGTGGTGGTGGTGGCGGGTCGTCGGATGATGGCACAAACGCGTCCTGGTGGCATGGGGGGTATGGGGCCTGCTCGGAGGCGAGCTACCCGCTGACTGCGGTAAGTGGAGTGGAGTGGAGTGAGGGCGCAGTGGTGCAGGTAGTGGGGGGGGAGTGGGGGACTTGGGCGGGGAGTTGGGATAGCGGGGGGAGGGGTGGTGGTGTGTGGGGGGGGGAGGAAAGAGGGGTATTGATCAGCGCGGTCGGCTGTCGGGTGCCGGTGTGTGAGGCTGGGTTAGGGAGCAGTGCGATGGGAAAGTGGCGGGATGAGGTAGAGGGGGGAAAAAAGGGGGGGCCCAATTGATGGCATGGAAAGAAGGCGCGTGCAAGCACGCACGGGGTGCGACTGGCTGTATGTATGTCATATCCGGCATTTGCTTTACGTCCCGCCTCCCCGTCATGGCCGCCTCATCCGTCTTCAGGTAACGGACCGCAATGCGGTGGGAAGGGGAGAAGACGACATGACCCCCTCAGAGGCGGCCATGTGGCTGTCGAGAATGGCGGAGCTGGAGGCCGAGGTGATGGAGGAGCGCGAATTCAGGTGCGCGGTTGGTTGGTTGGTTGGTTGGTTGGTTAATCGTTGGTCGTACGCGATGTTCGAATGTTGGGAGGTCGGTTTTGTGTTTTTGCGGGTTGAGTCGTGCGACAAGTGGGGCAGGAGAGGGGGGTCGTGTGAATGAGCCCCGCACGGAAAGGCGGTCTGCTTTCGGGTACGCAAACGCAAACCGTCGTACCACCTTCGTGCCCGTGTCTCTGTCGTACCTACCACAACCCATGCGGGTGCCCCCAAGCCATGAAGGGGACGCTCCCTGCTCCCCGCATAGTGTACGGATTCGACCGAAGGGGTTGTATCTCGCAGCTGCTCTGAAGGGGGTGGAAGTCCCCCCAAAGTATAGCAGTACAGCTCCCTCAACAACGCTCACACGGACAGATAGGGAGACAGACACACAAACACACAAACACACAGACAAACAATCAAAAGTGTAGCTCCCCTTGGACATACAAGCTTGTTATACACCGCGATTTGAGGACATCAAGCTGTAGGACCAGAGTGGGGTGTGGGGGGGAACATGTCGCTGGATGGACGCGCCAACGGAGGCGGCCGAGAGGGGGTCGTTACGTAGCAGCCAGGAGGGGGGTGGAAGTGGGGAGATGAGCCTCCGCTCCCCCCCCTTCCCCACACCTCATTGTACCTGTCCTATATCGAGTCCTCACCCCACCCCACCTCACCTCACCTCACCTCACCTCACCTCACCCCACCTCACCTCACCTCACCTCACCTCACCTCACCCCACCTCACCACCCCACCCGACCTCACCCCACCTCCCGGACTTACGCTCCAGGCGAAAGTACGAGGAGGAGATCCGGATGCTCGCGGCCGCCGCCACAGCGGGGGGCCGCGGAGGGAGACCCTCCGGCGGGGGACCCATGCTTTGGCAAACCACAGCCGGCAGGGTGGTCTCGGGCGCACGGGCCGCTGCGGCGGCAGTGATGCGCCACAAGTCCGGGCTGCCGCCCTGAGGGCACCAACACCCCCCCTCCTCCTCCTCCGCCTCCTCCTCCTCCCCCTCCTCCTCCTCCTGGTCCCTAGGGACACAGCTGCGTGACCCTACCTGAGGATGACACCTCGCGTTCCTCGTGTGGGATATCTGGACGGACCGGCGTCCCGACAGAGGACTCTCCCCCCTCCCCCTCGCTGCTAAAACCCCTCCTGCCAGATGGACTTTGTTCGTTTTGTATGTCTTGTCCGGGCTCTGTATCGGTTTCCCTGCCCCGCAGTCGTCTGAGAGCTGTCTTCCGCTGCGGCTCATGACACAGTCGCTGCTGCTGCGTTTGGCCTGCTGCGTTGCTGGGGTGCTGGCCGTTGCGCCAGGCACTCTCATACCCGCCCCGTCCCGCCCCTGTCCTGTCCTGTTCTACTGAGAAGCGGGTGGCGGGAAGGGCCGGGTAGTGTGTCGGAGAGCAACGCGCACTGCGACCTTCGAATGGCGGAGGCGAAAGCCTAAGTTATGGCCCTAAACCTGCAGGGGTGTCGTACCCCGCAGGGTTATGTACGTCTCTTATCCTGGATGGCTCCTGCGATCCGCATGCAAGCATGTGTGGTCTCATGTGGGTCAGTGCTTGGAGTGTGAATGTATGTATGCATATGTTAAATGGTACTGCACTGCGAGCGTGTGTGTGGGGGGGTTGGGGTGGGGGGTCGGGGAGGAGGGGCGTTACACTGGGCCGCGTGATCTGCGCCTCGATCCGGTGGTGGTGCGGTTGGCGGGTTGGTTGGCGGGTTTCGGTGCGGACGGGGCCTTCATCACGTGTGGGAGTCGATCGACGCGGTGCAGGACTCTGCTGCCTGCTGCGCCATGCTATTGTGCAGGTTTGCACGGGGGAGGTCCAGAGAGTTCGTGGTGAGAGGTGGGGAAGATGTACGCCCGGTTACAAGTTGGGCAGGGGTACACAAACACGGCCACTCGGTAGTGCTGCTGCGTGGCTGCTGCGGGGACTTGGTGTGCATTTTACTGTGTGACGAGGGAGTGAGGTGAGGTAGGGCAGGGGTAGGTAAGAGCGCGCCGGCCGCTGCGGGCGGATTGTGGTGGTGCAGTTCGTTGTGGTCCTGGTATCCGTCCATGGGCCCCCTCCCCCAATGGCTTTTACGGACACCCCCGCACAAGTTCTTGTGCGGAGCTTGTAAACTTGTATACATGTGCGCATGATGTGAAGGTTGAGAGAGCGGGGGAGTGGGTAGCTGTGGCGGTGGCAGCAGCGGGGAAGGGGGTGAGTGGCGGGAGGAACGACGCGCGGTGGACAGGATGAGAAGAGTCGGGGGCAGCGAGGGGAGAGGCGGATACTTGGGGGGGGGAGGAAAGGTCGGAAAGCAATGGCGCGGATAACTTGGGTCATTTAATGGCAGTCTTAGCTACGTGGCAGGTGTACGGCATGCGGTGCGTGCTTCGGAGCGACTGTTGGCGTGTCTGGGCAGGGCCCCCCGTAACTGTACGACTAGTTCAATCGAGGTCCATAACTGTACGATTAGTTCAATCGAGGTCCATAACTGTACGATTAGTTCAATCGAGGTCCATAACTGTACACGCCAGTGCGGTGCTGCTTGGTGAAACGTTTTTGGGGGTTGCGGGTTCCACATTGACAAAGCTAAACGCTGAAGAACTGCTGCCGGGTGGTGGAATCTGTTGGCGGGAGGTGGGAGATGGGAGATCGGGGGGTGTAGCATACCCCACGTTTTATTACGATCTGCCGCAGCGGGCCGGAACACCGAGGGGGGTTCTTACCCATACCTACATTTTGCGCATAGCTGCATGTCACGTCGACGCACGGTATCTATCTGTTAGGGATTAGTAGACATCAAACACGCCGGTAGCAGCTCTTATTTCTATCGCACGACAATTGATGCGCGCGCGGTCCGGCGTTACTATTGCTGTCGTATTGTTGCCGTACGGGCAATACGCCAGCAAGTGGCGACGGAAAGAAGCCCAGTGCCGCGGGTTTTTTCTTTTTTTTCCCCTTATTTATTCAAGTGGACTGTGCACCTTAACGTGCCTACCCCACAATCCACGACCTAGCTAGGTGATGCAGTACTGGGACCGAAGGGAGCATGAATAGGGGGATGGCGGCGTATGTTGGTAGACGTGTGTACGGGGCCCGCAGACGTGCATGGCGGGGGTTGGGGAACAGCGTGGGCAAGGATGTAGGAGTAGCGGGTAGTGGCGCCCTGCGGGAATTACTGAATTTTAGTTGAACAGGAAACCGGACGTGAGGGCGAGGTCCCGGCCGGCCTGCCTTTCCCAGTGTGATTTAGTCATCGCATGTTGATGCCTTTATGGGTATGATTATTGCCTGCCTAGCCTAGCCTAGCCTAAGCCTCGGTAGCATCCATGGACAGGAACGAACAAAGGAGGCATGTCTGTATATGTATAGCATAGGTCGGCATTGTCGTACAGGATCGATAAGGCCACTCTCGGTTGGGATTGGCAACCCCGGCATCAGCGGTCAATGGGGTGGGGCGCCGATTTAACTTCTCTGCTTATGTAAATAACTGCATCGTTGCAAGCGGGGCCAGCGGGGCCGGCGGCCACGTTGTCATGTATCGCCCACTCTACCGCCCGTGCATGAGTCATGTGCACCAACCTCTTGTTTCTCTCGGCTCTCCAAGCATGAGGCCGTATCACCCGGCCTGCAGGTATATTTATAGTACTTTGCTAGCCTGGAATTGCTTGTGCATGTAGTAGATGGCCAAAACGCTTAAGATGCTGACGGAGCGCGTTGCTGTCTCTTTTGCTGACGGTTTGCGTGCGTACTGTACGACAGCTACTACAGTCCTCCACCTCAGGACGGATCTGCGCATCTGAGTGAGGCCCTTACAGCGACACACCCGCCTGCCGATCGTCTTGATAGTGAGATTGGAAGCTGTACAGGCGCGTGAGTGTACAGTCCAACGTGCAGCTGACAGTCAAACAGCTGTACGTCGGAACGACGACGTGCAGTACACGATGCCTGTTCCGAACCTGACTGGCCTTGTTGCCCCTTGTTTGTCATGAAATATAAAGGCAGGTGCATCGGATATAGAGTATGTATGTTGTTACAGGGTGGTTAAGCTTCACCAGCGGCCCCCTTTCCCGAGGCAGAGTATGTCAAAGAAGATGCCGACAAGCCGGGCGAGCTGCTGGTTGTCAGTTTCTATATATGAGAGCGCATCAAACGCGCACATACGATGTTGTAGCAGCAGCTTGCGGCTGTTGCCAGCTGCTGTCTGACTGCTGACGTTTTAGAGTGCAGGTACGAAGCAGCTTGGAACCAACACCAAGGCGGCCTGTAAGCAGAGGGCCCAGGATGCTGAAATTCGGCTGGGACAAGGTCTGCCTCAAGCTTGATGGTATACCTGGTACCTGGTCCAACTGCTGTATGTACGCATTCATATTGAATGCCAGCCTATTGTTGCCGCCGGGAGATTTGTGTCTCTCGCTTTACACTGCGCCTGCCTGCTGCTGCATGCATCGTCCCGCCCGCCCAGCAGCAGTAGGCCGGCGGCCCCAAACAGATATAATAAGAGCCGTATGTTTTGTGCAGGTTTGTGCAAATACATCAAACCTCAGTCAGATCCTTTTGCTACTCCAGGTAAACCGCCTCCTATCTTCGGAGAACAGAAAGACGCACCAAGACAATCTACGGCTAAACAACTGGCCTTTCCTTTCATCGCTCTTAGAACTCATGACAACAGCAGCTGCAGCATCTCTCTCGCTCGCTGCATAGCAGCATGTAGCAGCATGTAATAAAGACATATCGATCTTCTATCAGGCCAACAATACTCATCGCAACGCAATGTTGCACACAACTAAGCGCAACAGGCTATTTGCGTGACATAATAAACGCTGTATGCATTATTGGTCGGGAATATTTAAGTCGAGGGCGCACGGGGAGACGTCTCCGGGAGTTGACCACTCGCTCGATCTCCAAGCTAGCCTAAGTATGCACACATGCCGTGGCCGTGCTATACATTTTTTCGAATTACGTTCACACACCAGGTAGGGTGCTAATTCCCGCACCCATCCATGCATTTATAGAAACTGGCAGACGCACGAAATACGTACATACATACAGACAGCAGCTGAGGTTCCGCCGCCGGCGGCTACACAGCACATATACATGTAATTATGATGCAGCCACGCATGTATGCCTTACTACTCAAGCCGGCCCGCAGCTCCGTTTTCAGGCTTGGATCTCTGTGCGGTCGCGATCCTCGTACTCCTTAAGAACCTTCTTCCGCATGTCCCTGGTGTATATCGTCGGCAGTCGGCATTCAAGGAAATAGCATCAGGGAGCGAGAATTGTCACATACATACCGCACGCACCTATGTATGCACGTATGTACATAATCATTCAGTGCACCACAAAAAGGATATGACCGAGAATTTCATGGATTCATGATGCATGTCCGGGTCTGCCGCAGAACAGCAATAGCACCTATGTATGTATGTACGCCGCACGCCCCATCGCATGCATGCGTGCCTGTGTGGTGCATGCAACAGAGCACAAGAGTAACTCACAGCCCGCTAAGCATCTTTTACAGACAACAATATTGTCAATGCACGATAATCACGCACCCGTATGTTAGGTCGGTGTCCGGTGTGAAAAGGTGTAGGCTCCCGTCCTCAATGTAGTCAAAGTATGGCCACACAATTCTGTCCTCCTCGTCGTACCTGCATGCGGCGTTATATAAATATGTAAATGGTTATAAACTACTTCTCGCCAGATAGAGGCGGTTCACGAGCTTCCGGGTTCGCTGCTGTGGCTCGCTAGCCGAACACATGCTGCTGACGGTGGCTGGATCCAGCAGGCAACTCTATGTTACTCAGCAGCGGTGTGTGGTGGTAGGTGATAGGCGGGCCGGTGGGGGTTGGGGAACCGAAGGACTAAGCTAAAACCCTGCTCCAGCTGCTGTATACCTTCCTGGAAAAGTGAAATACTCTTTTAACTTTAACCGTAGATCGTGTTCTAGCATGATTATATGGACGGTCGTTCCTGTCTAATACACCGTCGTCGGTGGGATCGGGATCTCTGTGCCTGGACGTGCCTGCCTACAGGAGTACGACTGATTATTGCACGTGCGTACAAATCCACACGCACGCACGCATGTCGTCGTCGACATGTGTGTGAGTATTACTCCTTCTGCAGTTGCGTTACTTTCCGAAGTTTTAACGGACCCATACGAGCCCTGAGGGGCCCCAAGGTCCAGCCTAAGGGCTGTCGATAAAAGGATAAAAGAAAAAAGAAAAACGCAACTATATATATTATATCCTATTATTTAGCATGCGTCCCGCGTCAGATCAATGCGTCTCTACTTATTGCCGATAGGTACGTACAGATGTAGACAGATGTGCGTGGTGATGAGCACCGGCGTTGTGTCGTACTTACTTGTAACACTGAAGCGTTGCGCAGAAGTTCCCGCGGTCTTTAGCCTTGTTTTTTAGCTGATGGCACTGATACCAGTTGGCGTCCATCCACGTCACATCGCCCTTGACGAGCTCTACCTCCGTGAGGGGCAGGATCTCCCGCGCACTGCTGCTGCTGCTGCTGCTGCTGTTAGCGTTGTCGTCGGCGAGATCCTGCCGCCACCGCCGCCGCCGCCGCCGCCGATGCCGACGCGGTTGCGTTGCATTGCATGATTAATGGAACGAATTCGTCAGTTGCCGCCAGGACGCACGTACATGTGCATGCCATGTACATACGTTGGATATGCTATGAGAATCCAGCACATGCTCATCAAATATTGGATCAATACACTGTGTATGTATGTATGTCAATGTACATCCATCTGCTGCCTCCGCAGCACGACATGGTGACATACACACACACACACGCCCGCATACGTACGATCGCGGCGTGGAGCTGAACATAGCAGTAAGAATGCGGGCACACACAGCGTCTGTAAAGTTGTTACGGTCTACCGGTCATGCCTTAGTACAGTGGATGCGCGGCTCCTAAAACTTACATGCTGTAGCTCAAGGACCGTACGAAGTTCTTGGTGATGGCGTACTATGTGTATGCGCCCTGTGCGTATCCGCCGTGTTCGTGGGTTCATGGAGTTTTAGGGCTTCATTAGCTCGTTAGCGTGTTCATCGCCGCGTACGTACATGTTGTCTAGCTACGCATGCACGTACATACGTACATACGCACCTCGGCGAGCTCGTTATGGACTTGCACCGAGATCGAGCCGTGGAGCACCCGAATGACCGCACACACGTTGCCGTGGTTGTGTATGGGAGACTTGCTATTGCCTGATGGGGATGGCAGCCGCCATGCAAGTGACGATGTAACACAGCAAAGGCGTAACCCGGGATGCTCTGATTGGCTTTTTGCGTCGTTACAGATGAACGAAGATGACATACACAAAATTGCGGTGTCCGGTCGTTCAGCCACCCATAAGTATAGAATCGAGTGCGAACTGTCAACGATGGGAGATGGCTGCAGCCAGCTGGGTGAGCTCCGGTGCGTGCACGAAGCCGTTCGCGAACGAAATAAAGGAAAAGCGACCAGCAGCAAGCAAGCAGGCTTGACCACCATGTGTGAACGCAAAACGGTATAACAATGCATGCATGCGAGTTTACTATACTATACTACACTATACTATACATATAGTATATGTGTGTGCAACGAAACTTCACCTGCTGTGAATGGACACCGCCCGTATTCATACTGTCACTTACTGAGTACTTAATAATTAGTAATTAATTGCATCATATACACGTGCATGTACGATAATAATTTGTACCCACGCACCGGGCCAGATTTCCACGACGTACGGAATGCCTGGCCCATCGCCCAGCTCGTTGCCCAGAGTGATTCGGAGGTAGCCAAATTCCTGATGATGATTGTGATGGTGCGGGAGTTGAGTTGAACGACAATATACATCGCATATATACGTACGTGTAATGTATTATGCATATACAGGCAGGGCTGCTAGTAACAGCAGCAGCGACATGTACCATATATAATGTGCGTTATTATGGCACATGCATAATAACGCAAGAAAGCGCGTCTGTATGTCTGTATGTCTGTATGTAAGCGTGCTTCCAAGCGTTGCAAACAGCAGGCTGCTGCTTTCTGCACCTGGCACACACCTTGTCTTTCTTACTAAGGATTTCATATAGCGTCTTGCCGGGTGTCACAATGCTGTAGCGAATAGCGTTCACAAGCTCGTCGTCCAGCGCGATACCACTGCCTGCAACAAACAGGATTTTTTTATCGAGGGGTCGGTTATTATGTAGCTGCACAGTAGCTAGGGGTGAAAAAGAAGTAAGTACGTAAGTACACACAGCGGCTTGAGGCTGCTGCTGGTTAGAAAATGGATGGATGGGGTCTAGGCACGAAAGCAATAAATCGGCGTGTTTCCTTTCCTCCTGGTTATTATTGATTGAATCTCGCAGTGCGTTGACCATACTTTCCCTAGCGTAGTTGGTCACATGTATGTTTACGTGCGTGCGTGCGTGCGTGCGTGCAAGTAAAAAGCACACGTGCAGCTCTCCGTCTTTGCCAGCTAACTGAACGGCCACCTTTATCATCGCAACTTAGAACCGAGGTGAAGGACTCAGCCCCCCTCACAGACTCCTCCTGGCAAACCTGGATGCGCTGATGCGCACCTACCCATCTAATTAAAGTATGCCGTTCGAATGAAGAACGGCCGTTCGTTCGCTCGCGCACGCACTCGGAGCGGAAATTACAGGGAAATAGGTACGTGCTCTCAACTTCGGTAGATTTATGCTTCTCCGCAGACAGACAGACAGACGTACACGCAGCAGTGCAATGACGGAGTGGGCACTCAACATGTGTTATTTATTTGCCACACACAACACTGCGTCTGGCTACTATGCACCTGTGACATTGCGGTACAGGACCTGGCACGCGGCCGGCAGGTCCGCACTGAAGGTGAACTGGGGGTTATCCAGGTCGTCCAGCGTGAGCTGGGCGGAGTCCTTCACCTTGGGAGGCCGGTTCTTAGTCAGGGGAAGCCGGTCGAACTGGACACGCGGCCGGGCGGCATCCACTCCAACAAGGGGTTTATCCCCGCCGCTGGGAAAGGGCGTGGCGGTCAACGTCGCCTGCATATGCATGCATGCGGGCCATCGCGTAGTCAGCACTAATCATGCAACATGTGTCCGTGGGTAGATATTTCTATGTGATTGGAGCAAGAGCAGATGTCGAGCATAGAGATGGAGACTCCGACAGAAAGCGAACGTGACGTACGCACGTGCGTTAATTAGTTCGTCCTTCATAGCATTTAGGCGCATTCACATGTATGCACGTGCATGGCGGCAGTAACTGCAACCCCCCTAAGCGCAGGTTGGAAGAGACGACAACGCAAGCACGGCGGCTCGCCTAAAAACATGCTAATTGAGGGGCGGGATCGATCGATCGGCGGCTCTTTCTCTCTTACTAAAAGTGTTGGCATATACACCGAAATAAGCAAGAATACTCATATTATACGCTAGTATTAGTGACATGCATGACAATAGGAGTGACATGATGGCATACCGACGTACATACCATCTTGACACCGCTGCCAAAGAGCTGCTCTGCGGTGTCTTTGTCCAAGTCCAGATCCCACGTCATCTCTGTGGTCTCCTCCATATGGTACCCCCTGCCGTACTTGATGCACTTGTGCGCTCGGTCGTACGACAGCCAATAGGTGCGATTGCTGGGCCGCAACGCCACGGCAAAGGCTTTGGCTGGCTTCAGCACTGCGATGCATTGTACATCGGCAGCAAGCAATGGCATGTGAATGTTGATATATGCCCATGCATACCCATATCTCTAGCACACATCGACCACTGCCACTACTGCGACTGACAGCTGCTGTATGTAACGACTCGCTTACCGGCGAGTTGCTGATCGGGCATACAAAATCACGTTAAGAAAGATTGTTCAATCCGATGCCAGCAGAATGATTAGAATGAGCAATGGCGTCGCATGTTTGACCGCCGTATACGGGTAGAGGTGGTATGTAATAATAGGGATGCATAGATCGATTAAGGGCGTGAGCCAACACGCCGCAGCGCCGATCGCACGTACGTATGCACCCCTCTATCTTTCATGACATATTTTCGCCCACTACGTACCATACCGTCACTCAGGGAGTAGGGCTGATGATGACCTGTGACATACTAACTTTAGTAGCTTGGTACACAACACGGCACACATATCAACTACAAATGCACGCGAAGCGCTCGACCAGTATCTCGAGAAGGCCTTTTCATCACCGGCCGGCTACTACACTAACCTTCAATTGTGCGCGGCTCCAGCTTCTGACGCTGCTCCGGCTGGCCGCCAGTGCCGGGCTTGCACAAGAATAGCTCTACGGAGTACCCTTCGGGGGCCTTAGGAGTGTGCACCGAGAGCAAAAGGGAGGGCTTGGAGCTGTAGCAAACCGATAGCGCGTTGCCAGTAATGTCGACAACAGGAGCGGCGCGGTTCGTCTGCTGTCCGATTTGATCACTGGCAGAGTCAGAGGGGTGGTGCTGATGGCCCCCATTTCCGTTCTGCTGGCCGTTATCGGCAGTCTCTGCTGCTGGCGTGCCGTCGTCGCCATCGCCGTTGTCAGCTGCCGGCTGGTGTTGCTGAATAATGTGCTGAGTGTTCAGAACGTCGTCGCTCTGCCATATCCTGGCCTGTGACAGCAGCACACAGTGGATGAATGAACGTGCTGAAGCAAGCACATACTCACACACACTACGTACGTACGTATGTACATATGTATGTAGCATATGGGGCGAGCTAGCTTAGGAAAGCCCGAGATAGAACCCGGCTGCCCCAAACCCAAATAAGACCCTACGTATATATATGCAAAAATTATGGCTAATAAATAGCGAGGCCAAAACGCGTGTTAGAAAAACACAACCATACTATGTATGTACGCTTCTGTATAGTATGTTGACGAGACAGCTGACCGACTGACCTCAAACGCCGTTTGCTTGTCCGTGAGGTTGAACACGAGCACCCCACCGGCGTTTGTCGCAAGGGGCCCAAACCAAGCTGGGGGCGGGGCTGCAACTGCGGATGCCAGCAGCAGCTGCTTTCCCCCCGCCGCGGTCCGGCGGGCAGGGTGATTGTGGCGGTCATCAAGCCTGCTAGCAGCCTGTTGATAAGTGATGATCGCAAGCATGCGAAATAGATATAGATGTAAGCAAGGGACGCTCGAAGGGATCGAATGGTAGGTATAAGTGCATAAGTGCGTTATACATACATGGGTAAAATGCCACAATGCGTGTGATAGCTAGCTGGCTGGACGCCGGGGAATGCCGGTAGAACACTTTATTGCATGTTTGAGGCTGGTGTGTCTGCTTGTTATATCACGATTTTTGCCCGGAATACTACGCTAACGCTGTATCCCAGCTGCGTGCTGCCAGCACTCACGGACGGATGCACTTAAAACCCATAGCAAAAATAGTCATGCATGCCCGACGGCATGCAAACGTTCGACGTTTAAACATACGTCCTACCTAACAAACGTGCGTATGCATGCGGCCCTGCGTGCCCCTGCTGAGTTGCAGACAGCAACGGAACATTATTATAGCACATTTGTTTTCCCGTGAACCAGGAAGCAGCTAATAACCATCAAGCAAGTGCATGCACCAACCATCACACATGCATCGTTAGCTTCTTGCATGATCTGTCTAATGCCTTCGCTCGTCTGCTCGTCTAATTATCCGCTATAGATCGTGTCCTGCTGGTATAGTTGATAGGAGCCGTCGTTATCGATTATTATAGTAGGCATGATCTGTAGACAATACAAATCTTACAACAGACGTTTCCTGCCGAAAACTGACACTTCCTTCATTCGTCGACCGCCGGATGGTACGCGCACGTTACGTACCTGCGTCAGCACCGTGAGCACTGTGCGTGCGAAGGCCAGGGACGCCGGTGCGGACGCAGCCGTCATATTACAGTGAGGAAGCTGCGTGACCGACTGCATGACATCTCGCAAGGGCTGTGACGCAGGATACATGGTCGTCACCGCTTTTAATGCCTTTACTTGCTTTTCAGATTACTGTTCGCAAATGCAATTACGAGGCGAACGTACGCAGCACTACAGTATGGGAACCTGTGGGCAAGTTAATTCGATTGGTGATGCTGAGGTAATTATATATATGGTATGTCAAGCGGTTTTTATGCATTCTGCTATTTTTGTTAGTTACACGTACAGCTTTCTGAGAAACGCACCATGTACATGCTGCCCCGTTCGGAAGCTTCCGCGCGCCTGCCGACCATGCCCACTTCCGTTGACAATCCTAAATGTACATTCATGACATATTTCCGAATTTAAGGGATTTGATTCATTCGTGTATCGCGCTGGAAGATTAAGATTATGTCGTAGATGGGAGTAGTTTCAGGGGGGTTGCTTCGTTCCTCAAAAGGCACCTATAGGTTTGTCCGCTCATTTATGAAATGCTAACATTTACTCTGTTGTGTTGTGGCCGACATTCATATACCAGAGAATGGTAACAGCCGAAATCGGACCCTACGGGGTCCGGTACTTTGCTGGTCTTAACAGGTCTTAACATACTCCCTGCAACCCATCCTGCGGCCCGGGCCTACAACACAGGCGGCTCACCACCCATCACTCGGTCCCACCAGACATGTGGAGGGCCCTAAAAGGCTCGAACGTCACAGCAGCTGTGCCTAGAATCCCTTTCATACTCCATTATTATTGCATTATTGAACTCAACTTCCGGGCGATAAGTCTGTTTTTTTTATACTATGCCCTTATGCACTTAATCCTTCTTATCAAAAAGTGGTACCTACAGCTTTGGATTGAAACCAAACATAGTCGTCACCAACTACAGCGTGCTTGGATTTGCACATGTGGTTTATAAGAAGTTGATGACAGATAACATCCAACTAATTTTCTGCATGCCCATTTCCTCATGTTTTGTGTTTTACTTCGTATGCTTTCGTTTCTTCGGATGCCGTCCTTGCTTCCCGCTTATTATTAAGTACAGCTGAACTACCGGTGAAGAACCTATGAGCACAATAACACAAATGGAAAGATAGAATGCGAAGAAAGGTTGTTTCCAGAAGTGGGAGGTTGACCGATCTCTGCCGCCCCCGTCATGTAACGACACCAAATCCCGATCAGGAGCTCACTCGCTTTAGTGAATACATTGAACAGTTCTGAAAGTGATTTCAAAGAGTTAAACGTTGGAAGATGTAACAATCGGGACACAGCAGAGGACATCGTCGACACCTAAAATGGCAACGGTGACAAATGGAATGACTGCCGAGAACGGGCGAGGAACTAGCGAAGATGACGAGTCCCCATAGTCCTTGGTTTGTTAAAACGCTGTTGGATCCGACACAAGCAATTTTAGGCAAGAAGGAACATGAGCGAAGGAGGAGATTGGACGAGCGATTGCGGACGTGCGTAGAATATGCTTCGACTTTTCGGAGCGAAGTATGTGGTCTGGTCTGGTGGCGCCTTCGTGTATATGAAGGTTCCGGGTTCGATTCCTGGTCAGACCCCCGACATTGTTCGGGAGGTCTAGGTTTACTAACGCTGCTGAGGTGTAGAGATGAGGTCTAGTTGATGGACTAAGTTTCGCATGCTGAGATGGTGGTGGTGGCTGATCTGTCTCTACGGATGTTAGGTGACTGGATGAGGAGGGGTCTAGTTGGCAGGACCCAAACCGCCGTCGGTCGTACGGTGTAATCAACTTTCAATACATATAGTCCATGGCCTCCCGGCTTTGACGGACCCCCCCGCACTCGTGCGGCACTTGTAACTTGTAACTTGTAAAGATATCGAGTGTAGAGATAGGCAAATTTGGAAGGAACTGCCGTAGTGCGTGGAAGCATGCATGTGCCGGGCCGGACCGCACTACAGCGGGGGACTCCAAGCTTCTACTTTGGTCGCACAGACGCGTTACTTCTTAGACTGCCGTGTTTTGACTATTACCAAGAGGTGCAGGGACAGTGACCTCTAGCTGTCAGCTGTCATCACTGTCGGCCACTAGTGCAATTTTCGCAATGTAAGCAATGACGCTACCGATAACCAGTTACCAGTTACCAGTTACCAGTTACCGTTACCCGTTATCAGGTGCCACTTACCAGTTGCCGTTACCAGTTACCAGTTATCAGTTACCAGTTGCGCATAAGTGGGGGGGTGTCGTAAAAGCGGGGGGGACCATGGACGGTAAATCGTTTGTAGTGTGGTTACGTGGTGGACCATCATCGTCCTCCCTCGTCCGCTTAAGCACGCAGCGCCTTAGAGAAACGTGCCAGGTCTCCCAGACTTCCGAGAGGAACCTGGCTAATGCCAGGGCTGGGGCCTCGGTCCTAATCGTGTGCATGTCGTGCCCTTGAAACGCAAGGTCACGTTCATATTTAGCCCGTGTACTAGTGTAAGCCGGGCATTCCACAAAAACATGCATTTCATTTTCAACCGCCCCCCAGATAACCATTCATGGATTCTGGCACGATATCACTGAGATGAAAGAGATGAGAGTCACATGCATGCGGCTGCAACAGCAGGAGGTCCACTTGTACGTGTGCATGCATGTCTGGGTACATGTGCATGGGTAGTTGGAGTCACGCACCCCCAACCCTGTAACACACATGCACATACACACATATATACACACATACACACACATACACACACATACACACACATACACACATACACACACATACACACACATACACACACATACACACACATACACACACATACACACACATACACACACACACACATACACACACATACACACACATACACACACATACACACACATACACACACATACACACACATACACACACATACACACACATACACACACATACACACACATACACACACATACACACACATACACACACATACACACACATACACACACATACACACACATACACACACATACACACACATACACACACATACACACACATACACACACATACACACACATACACACACATACACACATACACACACATACACACACATACACACACATACACACACATACACACACATACACACACATACACACACATACACACACATACACACACATACACACAGATGCATGTGTAGGTATTACGGCGGGAGCCCCGGATAGGAGCCCCGAAAGGAAGTACATACCCCGTCAGGGTGGGTAGGGGGCCATCAGGGGCCGCAACGGAGGACTGCCCCCGTACACTGAACTGCTCTGCACTATTGGGAACCCTAAGACGAAAACGCACACCTGTGCACAGCAATACATACAGCTCACCCCGAAGCTTGAGAGGCTCTGTACGGGGATGGCTCAGCAGTCCACCACGCAAGAGGGTGGTAGCCTGTAGGGCCCCCCCACAAGAAGCAGCAGCCGAACGCTGCTGCCGGTTTCTGAGAGAAACCTCTCAGCAACAGGGCAACAGCAAGCCGCGGCTGAAGACAAGGAGACCTGCGCTAGCCCAAGGCACCCAGTGAGTAAAAACATTACTGACGAAGGAAAACATACGGATGTCTGTGTGTCTGTGTGTCTGTGTGTCTGTGTGTCTGTGTGTCTGTGTGTCTGTGTGTCTGTGTGTCTGTGTGTCTGTGTGTCTGTGTGTCTGTGTGTCTGTGTGTCTGTGTGTCTGTGTGTCTGTGTGTCTGTGTGTCTGTGTGTCTGTGTGTCTGTGTGTCTGTGTGTCTGTGTGTCTGTGTGTCTGTGTGTCTGTGTGTCTGTGTGTCTGTGTGTCTGTGTGTCTGTGTGTCTGTGTGTCTGTGTGTCTGTGTGTCTGTGTGTCTGTGTGTCTGTGTGTCTGTGTGTCTGTGTGTCTGTGTGTCTGTGTGTCTGTGTGTCTGTGTGTCTGTGTGTCTGTGTGTCTGTGTGTCTGTGTGTCTGTGTGTCTGTGTGTCTGTGTGTCTGTGTGTCTGTGTGTCTGTGTGTCTGTGTGTCTGTGTGTCTGTGTGTCTGTGTGTCTGTGTGTCTGTGTGTCTGTGTGTCTGTGTGGCTTTGTTTTGCCTATCTATGCGTCAGGCTGAATGCATGACCGCAGGATGCGCATGTATGTCCGTACCGTACCGTATGCCCGAACATATGTCCGTGCCGTACCTGCTGGTTCCGTCACTCTCCAAAATACGTACATCGGCTACATTAAACATTCTTACTGCTGCTGCTGTTGCTGCTACTGCTGGTGGTGGCCAAGTAAGCCGGCGACTTGGAACGCAGCTGCTCGCTAGGCGATGTTCACATGGGGAGCTCTTCTGCTTAGCTTAGAACTCAGATACATACATGTGCAAGCTTTTAAAATAGAGTTCTGGACGCATCGGACGTGAGGGAACGAGGCTACTGACGTATCTCTTCCTATCCTATAGCAGGGCATGTATAGTAATTGCATTGCCTTTTAATCGGCAAGGGCCATACATGTTGCCTATTTAGGAATGCCTTCGGCTGCTGGCTCTTGGGTCCCCTCAGGGCTCGCACGGGCCCTCGTTGTTGCACCTTTGAAAGGTAACGCAGCTTCAGAATGTGGTGTAACACGTATAGTTATTATATATACATACAGACACACACAAGCACACACACGTATATACATGTTGGGCATACACATCCCCAAGGCGGCAATGGCATGTAACGGGTACCAACCTTTTCATACGTACCGCCATGCCTTACATAACTCCAATCATGGCTGATATTCATGTAGTTTACAACACAACTTCTATTTGCCACGTTGTCCTGGCGGACGGCTCGTAACTTGCTTTCCCAGCTACGTGCGCCTTGATAAGTCACACCGGGATCCTCATCCAGCTCATGTGTAAAAGGGTGCGCGAGTTACCTGATGTCATCTTATCGTTACTGTAATTATATAAAAAACATCATAATCACCGCAATCACGGCTACTGGTGTATAACATCAAACACCATCAAGGTGCTCCGGAACCAGCTGAAGCTGCTAGCTGTTCGCAATGCAGCGCTGGCACTGGCGTTGAAGACGAAGCGCCGCCGACCAGCGGCCCCGAAACCACCAGCACCCCCACTACCCTTGCTGCTGCCAAGGCCACTCAGATCCGAAACCCGCTCTACAATATAGGCGTTAGGCCGCTCGTTGACGTGATGATGACCGCCCTGGCCTGGTACTGCCCAGCTAAGTACCACGCCACGCGTCGCATGGCGCAGCAAGTTGCTTAAAAAGGCATCCTCGTGCTCCGATGGAACGTGCTCGCCCACTTCCAACGACATCACCCAGTCGTATGTCGTACCCAGCCACACAGGCTGTGACAAATCAAGGAAACGCACCGCACCGCGTGTAGCCACCTCTACGCCCTCGGCACCATCGTACGGCACGTACTGCCGTACAATGGAACCAAGACACCTGCCGTACTGTCCCAGACCGGCCCCGAAATCGGCTACACGCTGGGCGAGGAACAATCCGCCGAGGGCGGTGCAGAGCTTGGAATCCAGGTAAGTGGCCGTGACGGACCCTGCAGCAGCTTGTTGGGAAGCATTGGGGTGCACACAGAAGCCGCCCGCGGGCCCGATACCGTGGAGCGCGCAGTACGTCGTGCCGTACTCGAGCCGCAGCGCACGCAGCTGCATAACAAGGCGTGCGCGTGATCAGCAAATACGTAGGCGTACGGGTTGGGTTACTTGTATGTATGTGCGTATGTACGAACAGAGCCTTTAATTGGACGTTGGGAACATGAATCCTCGGGAATTCAGCTGTGCAGCACGTGTACGTGTGCGTGTGTGTATGCGTGCACGTGTGTGGGGGTTTGGGTGTGGGTGGGTGGGTGGGGATCATGCACGCGCCCGCCGGTGGTCAACCACACTCACTCACTCACCCCGCCCCGACCGACACCCCCATCCTCTAGCTGGACATTGAAGAGGGAAGACGGGAGAGGGAATGTATAGCTCCTTCTCACAACCCAAGCGAACCCCACGTGGCCGAACAGATATTAGCCAAGCTAGAGGCTATGTACCGGCTCTTAGCTAGCCCCCTGTTGCGAATCATGGTGGCGGTACAGGGTAAAAACTTGAAATGGGGAGTACCAAAGTATGCCCCCCTCTGGTCCAGCTAGTCACCAATATCCTGTCCCCAGATGTTATACCGTACACCGTACGGTACGATATCGTACAATTCACGTCCATTGCGTTATACCTGATTTTTACGTGTATAGAAATGCTTCCCCCGTTGTTACCCTCCGTGCTTCTCTTCGATCATTCCATTTTCCTCTTCGCCCCGCTGCTTTGGCCACTGGTCGCTTTGGATTTCGTATTTTGGCATGGCAGTGGCCTTAATTAACCTCTCCTCCTCCTTCTCCTCCTCCTCCACCTCCTCCTCCTTGTTCGAGTTACAGCTCTTCTTCCCCCTCGTCCGTATTCCCATTCCCGTTCCTGTCCCGATTTGGTCACTGCCCGGGCCCAGACATGTCCCTTTATCGTAAACCTCCGATCCCCGACAGGTCCCCTCCCACGATCTCACCTCTTGCGTAGACATACATACATAAATACACACATGCACACGTCGGGGTGTGCATCATTTGCATTACTGCACTTAATGTACTGCTTTGCTTCAACCACGGAGGTTGCAAATGTTAGTTCCTTAATGGCACATCGAGTTACATACAGACATACGCGTAAGTAGCAAGCGATGTGTTCCCTCTCTCCCTCCCTTCCTCGCAGGGTGCTGCACATCCACCCTCCCTAATCCTTATTACCCCTCCTTCCCCCCGTATCCCCCATGCGGACATACAACGACAACTACCACCAACTACCACCAACTACCACCAACTACCTGGCGCCGCAAGAACAGCACTTCCTCCCTTAGCGTCAGCAGCGCCCCCAGCGCCCGCAGCTCCTCAGGACTTCTATGGCCGCCATCTTCACTACTGTCGCCATCATGCTGCAGCTGCTGCTGCGGCTGCAGCTGCTGTCGTCGTCGGTTCTCAGGAAACGCCGGGACGAACTGAGTGGGCTCCTCAAGCTCCGGAACCAGCAGCAACTCCATCGTGTCTGTTGCCGCTGGCGCTCCGGCGGCTGCCGGCGGTGCCGGTGCCTGCGTCACCAGCGGCCGGCTCGTGAGTCCGCGGCTGATGACGCCTCCGCTGCCGCGTCCGCTGCCGCTAACGCTGCTGCGGTAGTGTTGGTCGCAGCGATGACTAGACCAGGCGCCAATGGCGAAGGCTGCCAGGGCGGTGGAGAAGAGCAGTGCGGACAGAATAACGCCGCTGACGGGCCGTTGCATTTGCTGCAGGGCGGCGGATGTGCCAGACGACGAGCCTGGTGTGCGCATGTATGGCTATGGGTACCCACGGCTGGAGGGATCAGAGATGTATGTATTTGTGGATGTATAATGGGATGTTGCTTGCCGGTGAAGGTACCGGTACAGTGCAGTTCGACTTTGCGTAGGACCTTCCGTCAAAAGGGCCAAGGCGTTTGCTGCTGCCCTTGCGTATGAACTTCCTATGGATTTCGTGGTGGGTGGAGGCAATGACGAGATTAGACATCCAGGAGGGAAGCTTGGGAAGTACAGATTCACGTTCTTGGCCAATGCCTTGGAATCTGCCTCGGCCCTGGCCTTGGACCCATGGGCCCCCAGACGAGGTCCGCCTTTTGCCAAGCTGCTCCATGATACCTCGAACGACAACATATCACTTACATGGATATTTCACATTTGGCAGACAAAATAGCAATGGCATAGCCCTGAGCGGTGTGCAGCAGAGTTTGTTTAGACGCAACAAACAATAGTGATTGTCGTTATCATGTCCTAAATTATGATATCGTGTTGCCGCGTTTATATCTTTGATTGAACAAAAAGCTTGAGGCTGGGCATTTGGCATTCCGACTGGCTGGTCGTTGTCGCTGTCAACGGTCATGTTTACTGAGTTCACGTTTCATTGCGATTGCGAGCTCGCTGAGTTGTCGTGGCAAGGTGCGGTATGGACATGTTGGCAAAGTTGCAATTCTTGATGGGCAATAGCTCTAGACAAGCCTCATGTATCGACCGTCAATGAGCTTTCGTTCCCACACATACACAAATCGACACAATAGATGCTACATACACCGTTTCCAGTGGTTTTCAATTTGCAGTTTACGCTTCAGTCGGCACGGCCGGCCTTCGCGAGGCGCATCGCCATGCCGGGGCGTCAGCCACAACACCATAGAAGAGCTGGTTGACTCCCCCGGCTCACCCTTCTATTGCCTTGGTCTGGCAGATCACCAGCAGGTAGGTGGCCTACCTGCGACCAATCCACCTCTGCTACACCGGTACGCCACCCGCACTTGCTACCCGCCACTTGCGCCACCGCCCCTCCCAACATTCCCCCCTTCCTAGCAGCCTGACCGCCACCTGCAAAGCTAAATCCGCGCGCACCCTCGCGCACATGCAGTAGTAATGATTTCCCAGTGCATATCGCATACGGCTCTTCCCATGTCCCTCCCTCGTCGTCCCCCTCTCATCATTTTGGATCCACTTTCCTTCCTCAAGCCCGGTTCCCCCGTCTCTCTGTTCCTACGCGACCCCGGCTTCCTCAATCCCGCCTCCTCAATGCCTGCAGGCGGGTGGCTATGCCCGCGCCCTACGGCGGCAGGTGGGTCACCTGCGCCGCCTCAAGTCCGACCCCGCCGCCCTGGCGCTGACCGCTCCCCCCGACTGGGCGGCGCTGTTCTCTGATCCCTGCCGGCCCCTGGTGGTGGACCTGGGCTGCGGAGCGGGGCGCTGCATGATACTGGCCGCAAGGCTGGCGGAAGAGCAGCAGCAGCAGCAGAATGTACTGCGGCGCCAGGGGCCGGTTGTCCCGGCAGTGGTGGCGGCGGCGGCGGCGGAAGAGCAACGGCAGCGTCTGCAGGGCAGTGCTGACGCTGGTGCGGCTTTGTGCTCTTCCTCGGGCGATACGGCAACCAGCATTAGGCAAAGTACTACAGGCGGAAATGGCGGTGACTCTAGCGGGAGCAAAGGTGGTGTTGACACTGGCTGCAGACGCGGCGGCGGCGCAAACTTTCTTGGAGTGGACATCCGACTCGCGGTGCGGGGACGGGAGGGGAAACCTGCGGTGCGTGTATCGGGTTTATCGTACCTGGCAGAGACCTTGCCCTCATGCCTCCTGGTCCGCTCCCTCTCCCTTTTCGCTCTCCTCCGCAGTTCGCTCTGTTCCTCTTCGTTGTCCTCTCACACCTCCCCTGCCCTCACCCCTGCCCTTCTGCCCGCCCGCCAGCTAACCTCGCGCGCCACCGCATGGGTCCGAGCAGCGGCCCTCAACCACCGACTCGCCTTCCTATGCGCCAACGCCAACGCTAGCCTCGTGCCGCTGCTGGGCTCGTACGGCGGTCGTACGTCAATCTGTACGACGAGAAGCACATCACAAAGCAACGGCCCCGTTACCGATGCCGATGCTGATACCACTACTGGTGGTATCAGCCTTGGCGGTAGTAGCAGCGGCGGCGGCATTCGGAACGGATTTGGCCGTGTGGCTTTGGTTTGCCTTCAGTTCAGTGACCCACCCGTTCACCGTGCCGCACTGGTGGGGGGTAGTCAGCTGGTGGCGCAGCTGGCGGCAGCGCTGGAGCCGGGAGGTGCGCGGTAGCGTGGCTGGGCGGTTGGGCGATTTGGGAACTGGTTAGGTTTCTTTCACTTCGGGATGTGGGCACCAGACCCAGTCACCTGCCAAAATTTGGCCTTTTAGGGGTTGGGCGCATGGCCGACGGGGGATTGAGTCGTCGACAGCGTCGCGGAGGTGACAGGTGGCGCATGTTTGCAGCCCCTACGCAGACGCATTGTGGCACTGCTGCCACGGTGGCCAAACGCTGGCCTACGTCGGCGCTTCTACACACAGCTTTCAGGTGCTACCATCTTGCGGCAGTGTCAGTGCAGCTTCACTACCACCTAAACTCATTGGGCCCCTTCTGATGCCGCGTGCTAGGCATCATCAGTCAGGCACCTTGCCAGGCCTTTATCCGTGGCTGAGATTGACGCAGTGCACACACACCCTGCTGCCACTGCCACCGTCCACCATGTTTCCCCCTTCACGCAGCCATGTTGTGGATCCAGTCAGACGTGCTGTCCATCGCAAAGTCCCTCCGTGCGCTCTTCTGCTGCCACGGCGGCTTCGCACCCAGTGCCAGACACGCCTCCGCCACCTCCGCCACACGAACGCGCCACTGGCTGACCGCGGGGACGCCAAACCGCTCAAATCAAACGATGGCACCGATATCAAAGTCACCAACCGATTCTGAAACCTCTGCAGCTTCTGCTGATGCCCTATCGCCGTCGCCGTCGCCACCACCGCCGCTGCCCCTGCTGCTTCACGCGGATCTTGCGACCCATGTCGAGCCCTGGCTGACCGAGGAGCAGGTGGCGGCAGTTGTACGGCGGAACCGAATCCGAGACCACCCGGAAGATAAAGACCTTCAGGACGGCGTTGAGACACATGATGCTCTTGGAAATCACTACAGGCCGGTCCTCGAAGGGCAGGATTCGACCGGGTCTGGGGATGAGGAGTTCATGGCTACGTACAAAGCTGGCAGATGTGTGGATGATGCGGACGATAAAGGTGATGTAGACGGTGACGGATGTGGTTGGTGCGGGTTGCCTTGGCTGGACTCCAATCCTCTAGGGGTGCCCACGGAACGGGAGCTGTACGTGGAGCGGGGTGGTAGGGACGTCTATAGGCTGCTGCTGGTGCGCGTGGCGGCGCGGGGCGGATGTAAGGACGTGTGAGGGTGGTGAAAAGCTGCGACGCATTGGTAAACGTGTATGGATCGGAGCCTTGTCTAGCGTGTGGGTATCGTTGGGCCCCGGGGGCTCGAAGGAGGATTTAGGGGGATTGTCTTGGGAGCGCCAGGATGTGTGTCGCCAATGGTATGGGAAACGAGTCCGAACGCGAAGGGTGTGTGTGTGTGTGGAAGGAGGCGTTGGCAGCGGTGGAGGCGGCGGCGGCGACGGCGGAGCTCCATGGTGGCGCAGGTCGTGCGGGGAGGAAGAGGGTTGGGAAGGCTGTGGGTTGTGGGCTATCCAGGCGTGGCAGAGAGCTGTCGGGTGGGCAGGTCCAATTAGATAGATATATAATGTATACGTATGTATGTACGTACTTTAACACACCCGCCGCAGGGTTGCCTGGATCAGAAGCCCCGTGTACACGGTGGAGGGGTCATTGGGGCGTCCAAACCTGTAACACATGCCATCCGGGCTATTTCCTTCTCTCAGCCCGGTCCCCTTGAGACACCTGGACACGTTCATATGCGTGAAAGCGTGTTCGGGTGGCAATAGAAAATAGCGACAACCGTACACCGGCAGAGGCCTGGCGGGTATTTAGTGAGTTTAGGAGCTTAGGTGCATTCCTGCCCGCATCGGCAGCATCGGCATGTCCGGATATTGTCAAGCAGTACCGGTACCGTGCTTGATCGGTTAGGGAAGCACATATGCATGGCGGTTCTGTGTATGTGTGAGAGAGAGAGCTCGTAGGAAGTGTTGATTGCTTGCTTGGCTGCTTGCTTGACCTGGGTGTCGAGGATGCGGCGGTGAAGAATGCGCCACCGCTGAGTTGCTGTCCGGTGTGGAAGAGGTCGTGGCATTTGGCGGCCAGGGTCTCTGTGGCGGAAAGAAAGGGAGATGGGCGTTGCGTCCGGCGTAACAGGCGAGGATGGTGCATGTGTGTGTTACATGGTTGGGGGGTGCGGGACCCCATACCTGTAAGACTACGAGCCGAAGGCCCAAGGGGATGGTACATGTGATACGCCAGTTTCGTAAAGACGCACCTCTCCGCTTTGTTCATGTGTCTGGGAGCTCGTTGTTGTAGTGGTGCACACTCTTAGGGTCATTCTTGAAAGTATCGTAGTGGTCGGTCGACAGCATTTGCAGGTGCTGTGAATCCGTATCTTTGGATCGCAGCGTGTGCAGGGACTTAGTCCATCGGGCGGCGATTGGGGATTTAGAAAGCCACCGGGCCCTTTCGCGTCCCTGTACGTTTCGTGTCTGAGTTCCGTCTAGTATCATCAGCAAGCCATTACAGCGGCATCACACGGGCCGGTAGCAGCGCAAGCTAAGCCAGCTGGCTCACATGACATAAATGGCTTACGTTGCATAATGGTGAATGGAAACTGCCTTTTCGGTGCCAACGGAACGTTTAGCATTGGCTCGTCCACACGGTTGGTGACAGTTATAAAGGCAACGACACGACGTTTCCGGCCTGTGGATTACGAGCAAAACAGCCCTTCTACCCACGTCTAGGTGCGCATTGATTCGCGGTATTGCTATAAGAGCGGCATTGGCAATGTGTTCAGGTGCTAGCATGAAAACGGTCCCTGTGTACCGGATTGTCTCCGCGCAAGCTCTAAAAAAACATCGCCAAGACCTGTGTCATCAAGACAACCCGTCAATAACTGGTAACATTTCGATTCCTAGATTGCCTACTTATCGCATATCTATGTTTCACGCAAGGTGATGGACCTCGTCACTTCTGTAGACATCTCGTCCAGCATTAACTCGTTGGCCCAAGTATGGGAAGTAAACAGTTGCGCGTCCTGATAAAGATAGGTCTAGGAAGGCAAGGAAAGAAAGCCAATATTCCCAAATTCGTGCGGATTCCTTGTTACCGACCGCCGGCGCGTTCTCCGACTCCAAGGAGGTCCCGCCAATATTGAGTGTGAAAACGTTTGCCAGAATATGGGACTTTGTCTTCAGCCACATGTGCATTCAAGGAACTGTCGGGGGCCAAAGAGAGCTTCGGCGATTCGGACAGCTATCTCGTAACGGTATCGTAACCCGGAACCCAGGAGACCTATGGCGAATGGATTGAGTTTATAACAACGAATTGAGACTACCTGAATTTTACCTTTTTTTTAGAGGTCGCGCGGCGACAATCCGGTACACAGTGACCGTTTTCATGTCTAACGCACTGAATCCTTATGGCCCTAGAGGATCCCCTACTGCGGGTAATGGAAGACGTTTGCCCCTCATAGTATGGGCGTACATTTAAAGACTGCACAAGCATGGTTCCGTCGCAATTGGACTGCCGTAACCGGGCATGTATAGGGCCCAAAGGTACAGAGCCCGCGTAGCTACAAAAGCTGGCCAGGGCGTGGTTGGGATCCTATGAATCTAACTCTCATAATTCAACTGTCCAAACTTGTGAGAGATTGTGTAGTAAGGAAAGTTTGCAATCTTATGCTTTCGGAAGCCCTACCGATAATTTTGGCATAGATTAGTTGACTGCAGCAGGCTCGTCAACTGCAGAGGTCTCCGAATTCTAACACAGCATCTTGAATTGACGTAAGCATCATGGCTGGCAACCTGGGAAGGATTTTCAGGTTCCGTAACAATCGCACCGTTAACCCCTGCCAGCCAACGCCGACTGGCACAACTAGCACATCCGTCTTGTGTCTTTCGCCACGCAATTAAATAAGCAAAATTGAATAAGCTGCCACCTCTGAATTGTGCATCTATATCAGGTCATGGCTATCGGTAACTGTACCGGATGTCTAATTACCGCAGTTGTTGCCCTTGTCCAGTCGCAGTTTTCAAGAAGTCCTCTGTTATTATGGAGACCACCATGAAGCTTTCGTCAACCACCAACAAGGTGGCTGGGCGCCCGGTTGTTCGGTCCTTGCTTCTGCATCCGAGGTGCGTTGGACTGAGCGACTCATCGCCTATTCGCGTCAATGATGGGCAATGTAGGCAGTCTATTTAATTTAACCTCCTCGAGTTGTGAACCGTCACCTGTTAGTTGGCAAGCCGTCTCGGCATGTAACGGTATGAAAGGTCTCCCTTCGCGTATGCTATCTGTCTCTTTATGACCTTTTTAGCCGTTTAAGGATGACTGTCCTTGTCCGTAATGTTTCTTGCAGCCGTCCCGCAAACAAGCGCCTCGTCCTTTCTGCTGCCGCCCCGGACGGATCTGCGACCGCTCCGTCGACTCCCGACTTCAAGTCGTCCGACCTGCCGCCGCCAGTTACCGCCAACTCACAGTCTGCCGGTAACATTCTTCCATTCAACGCACCTGCCGCATCTGTCGCCAAGGCACCCACAGCGAAAAAGGCAAGGCAACCGTAGTCGCATTTGACACCTGACGCGGAACTTATTGACTTTGGAAGGCTATCGTGTTATTACTATGCGCCGTTTTACCACCTTGCAGCACCACGTTATTTACAACTGTCATTCTTTTACGTTATTTGCAACTGTCATTCTTTCACGTTAGCTCCCGCCCTGCACCGGCAGGCTCCTATGGACGGCAACGAAGCCACAGCCCACATCGCTTACGCCGTCTCGGACGTGTCGTTTATCTACCCTATCACCCCCGCTACGGTCATGGGCGAGCTGGTGGACCAGTGGGCAGCAGAGGGCCGTGTTAACGTGTTCGGCAACGTTATGAGCGTGACGGAGATGGAGAGCGAGACCGGCGCGGCAGGTGATCGAGATTACGTTATTACGTTATACTCCTTGACTTGCTGCACAGATCGCAGGCTGCGCGTCTCCCCTACCGACAGGAATTGTTATACAACCTTGTGCGCTTGCTGTACAGCCGCTAATTACGGACCCAAATTCGGCTTTCAGGGCTTCTTATTGATCTAAGCCCCTGGCCCTTCACCCTTGTCAGGCGCGTTGCACGGCGCCCTGGCAGCCGGCAGCCTGGCCACTACCTTCACGTGCTCCCAGGGGCTGCTGCTGATGGTGCCCAACATGTACAAGATTGCAGGCGAGCTCACACCTTGCGTGTTGCACGTGACGGCGCGCGCTCTGGCTAAGCACGCGCTCTCCATTTTCGGAGACCACCAGGACGTTATGGCGGTGCGGCAGGTAGGGATGGAGACGCAGTACCCAGTACCAAGTCGCGTCTTTTACCAGCTTTCTGTTTTTACGCAACCCGTGCGACTTGGGCGCGCGCGGGTGTCTATGCTGATGTGTAAAAAACCTCCAGTCTTCCGCGTCCGGTCCACTCGGAGCTTCGGCGTCCGCAATTGTTCCACAATTCGCAACAAGCGTGCAAAAACCTTTCTGTTTTTAATTGCCGATACTCGTCCCCCTCCACACTTACCCTTTTTTTTCCACAGACCGGGTGGGCCATGCTGTGCAGCCACAACGTGCAGGAAGCTCACGACTTGGCTTTGGTATCGCATCTCGCAACGCTGCGGGCTTCGGTACCCTTCCTGCACTTTTTCGACGGTTTCCGCACCAGCCACGAGATCAACACAATCGAGCTGATCGACAGCGCCGCCATCAAGGAGTGAGTCGTGCAGTCGGGGCAGTAACGTAGAAAAACGTAGATAACGATGGCCTTCAGGGAAGTCAAGGATCTTTTATTATTATTATTATTATTATTATTATTATTATTATTATTTATTATTATTATTATTTATTTTATTATTTTACAATTTAATAGTACAGCTGTGATGCGAACGACAACATCTGTTCACAAATCGGGTGCAGTGCCAAAACTGCTTTCAGCTCGTTCCTCGTCGCGTGCTCTCCCGACACATACCTGAACCATCTGCCCTCCTGTTTGTTTTATGTACCCACCATAATCGGTTCTCAGGTTGCTGAGCAAGCCCGTGTACGCGGATGCCATCCGCCACCATCGCACTCGTGCGCTCAACCCTACCCATCCGCACCAGCGCGGTACGGCACAGGGCCCCGATGTGTACTTTCAGTGCGCTGAGGCCGCAAACCCCTTCTACGACCGGGCGTACGAGCACGTAGTCGAGGCCATGGCTGAGGTGTCAGCTATCACGGGCCGGTCGTACAAGCCGTACGAGTACGTGGGTGCCCCCGATGCGGACAAGGTGATTGTGATCATGGGCAGTGGCAGCCAGACAGTGGAGGAGGCGGTCGAGTACATGAGCGCGCTGGGCCACAAGGTCGGCGTGCTCAAGGTGAGACGTTGCCATACTCCTGCCGGCATGGTGCGTGCTGGCATGGTGCACAAAAGGAAACTGCAAAAGGACCGGCCATCTATGCGCGCAAGAGCAAAGTTAGGCTGTGAAGGCTACGGCTGTGTCACTCCAGCGATATGATCATATGGGAGTAGGCGCCTGCCGGAGCGCTTTTTGTGTTGCGCCAATTGATTGATTAAGTTGGCGGGTTGGATGACCAATGTTTTCCTTGGCGGCATTCTCCTTCGTCGTCTCGAGCAGGTGCGGCTGTTCCGTCCGTGGAAGACGGAGGCGTTTCTGGACGTCATTCCCGCCACTGTGCGCAAGGTGGCCGTCCTGGACCGCACCAAGGAGAGCGGCTCGGGCGGGGAGCCCCTCTACCAGCAAGTGGCGGCCTCCCTCCACGAGGCGGAGCTGGTGGACCCAGCCCTTCCGTAAGTAGACAGGCACATCGGGCCCCAGTTTCAGGAATGAAATAACTTGGACTCGGGACGTTACGGACCTTACAAAAGTAAATAAAAGGTCAACTCAGCTGTATTGCATCGTGCGGCAGGTCTCAAGAAAAGAAACATCTATTTCTTAAGCTATGTTTTTCCCTCACGTTTTCCCCACAGGCGTCGGTATATTGTGGGTGGCCGCTTCGGCCTGGCTTCGAAGGAGTTTCTGCCCTCGCATGCCGTCGCGGTGTTTGAGAATCTCGACGCCGCTACCCCTATGCGCGACTTCTCGGTCGGCATCGTAGACGATGTGACGCGGCGCAGCTTGCCGGCCGCGCAGCTACTGCCAGCGGGTGTGTCCACCCTGCCCACCGGGACCTTCGAGTGCCTCTTCTGGGGCATGGGCTCCGACGGCACCGTGGGCGCCAACAAGGAGGCAATTAAGATTATCGCCTCTAATACCAGCATGTCAGCGCAAGCGTACTTTTCGTACGACGCGCACAAGAGCGGCGGCGTGACCGTGAGCCACCTGCGCTTCGGACCCAGCAAAATCCGCGCGCCATACCTGGTGCAGCAGGCGGATTACATGGCTGTCAATCATCAGTCGTACATGGCCAAGTACGATACGCTGTCGTGCCTCAAGCCGGGTGGCGTGTTGGTCCTGAACACGACCTTCACCACCGTGGAGTCGCTTACCAAGTACCTGTAAGTTGTGTTATCGGGGTTCAAAGCTGTGTTTATGGGATTGGGTGGGGTGGGGAAATCTGCAGCAGCTGATGCCTTTCTGATGATTTTCTGTGACATGCATGAGAACGCTTATTGCTGACATGACAACTTTTCCCGCCCTCGCGTCCTACATCCTCAGGCCCGACAAGGTCAAGAAGCAGGTCGCGGCGCTCAAGCCCAAGCTTTACCTGATCGATGCGCTTGCCGTTGCCAAAGCTTCCGGCCTGGGCAAGCACGTCAACATGGTAATGCAGACGGTGTTTTTCAACCTCAGCGGCGTCTTGCCCATGGAGAAGGCCATCGCACTGCTAAAGAAGTCGATCTCGAAGGCCTACGAGCGCAAAGGCCCGGAGGTGGTCGCCAAGAACCATGCTGCGGTGGACGCCGCAATCTCGGCGCTCAAGCAAGTGGACATCCCCGCTTCCTGGGCCGAGGTGGAAACGCCGGTGGTGCACCCGAACCCGCTAGCCAAGGTAACCTTTCCGATTCGCTGACTTTTTTGAGTAACTAGCCAAGCGTTATGAACGCGCAAGGGTGAACATGTATTTTATTTAGGTCGGAGAACTTGTGTGTCAAAAGCGCCTTTGTGTGTGCTATTAAAGCTTTTGCCGCCCCGGTGTCGGATGGTTCACGGCCTGTGCGCAGGTTCAGTCTGGCAGCCGCTGGGAGTTCATGGAGAAGGTGGCTCGGCCCATGCTCGCGCTGGAGGGTGACAAGCTGCCTGTCAGCGTCTTCTCGCCAGGTGCGTTGGGAAATAGCGTGCGTGCGCGCGATGCGTGAATTCCGTAAGACCCTGACAACCTTCAATAATTACAGCAATCCACCTTAAGATTTGAAAGGTTAGCACTCGGCGTGCTCTTTTCAATGTCTTTATCAAAAGACATTGGCCTCGTTGCGTCCTTGACGCAAATTTTAAAGTTGCTGTGTGATCCTCCTCGTGGATCCTCCACAGAGGGCTTCGTTCCCCCGGGCACCACTGTCATCGAGAAGCGCGCCATTGCGGCTCAGGTGCCCGTGTGGAAGGCTGAGAACTGCACCCAGTGCAACATCTGCGCCTTCGTCTGCCCACACGCCGCGATTCGGCCCGCACTTGCTCAGCCCGGTGAGCTGCAAAACGCACCCGCGTCCTTCGGCTCCATCGCCGCCAAGGGCCCCGGGCTGCAGGGCCTCAAGTACCGTATCCAGGTATCGCCGTACGACTGCACGGGATGCGACTTGTGCACCCACGCCTGCCCGGACAATGCCCTGGAGGCCAAGCCCATCAGCAGCATCCTGGACGTGGAGAGCGCTAACTGGGACTTTGCTACGTAAGCAAATGTGCTCGTCATGCAGCATTGCCTTGGTTCTTGCGCAGTCTTGACCTTGTTCGTTCTATGGGCCAGTAGTGTTGCCTGTCAGCCTGTCGTCGACGCGTGGGAATCGTCGCTGGCTTAAGACATCATAAGGCTTGACAGGGAACTGTTCTTCATCTCCGGATACCACCTGCATTCCGACTGCTCCCGTTCCCCTTCCGTTCTCGCGTGTAGCCAGCTGCCGGTCCGCGACAACCTGATGGACCGCAGCAGCGTGAAGGGCTCTCAGCTGCAACAGCCCCTCATGGAGTTCTCGGGCGCCTGCGAGGGCTGCGGCGAGACGCCGTACGTCAAGCTGCTGACTCAGCTCTTCGGCGACCGGCTCATCATTGCCAACGCCACCGGCTGCTCGTCCATCTGGGGCGGCTCCGCACCCTCCAACCCGTACACCACTAATGCGGATGGCTTCGGACCCGCGTGGGCCAACTCGCTGTTCGAGGACAACGCACAGGTGTGCCTATATATATGGCTTGGTAGGGGATGTATGTATCGCAATTATCTGATTTTGGCCGTGCCGTTGTCCTGTGGGCGGCTTGCTTGCGAACGGCACCGGCGGAGCAAAGCCACGCTTGAAAATTCTTCCCCTTGCCGTTCCCTACTCCCCTTACTGCATTTTGATCATGTCCCTTGAATCTGTCGTGTGTTCCTTGCGCGCAGTTCGGCTTGGGTATTGCGACGGGCACAGTCCAACGGCGTAAGACGCTTCACCGCCACGTTCAGGAGGTGCTGGCGGCCCCGGCTGAGAGTGTGCCCATCAGCGCTGCTCTGCGCGATGCGCTTACCAGGTAGAGATTCATCAGTGTGGAGCCCTGGCATCGAACTTCAGGGTTGGCCTGGCTAAGCAACCTCGTTAGTGTCAAGCTCTTTAGTGACAGTTGGCGCAAGATTATATCCTGCACCTATGTGTTATCCTGAATTTGTTTTCATATTGGTTACATGTTATTGTAAAGAGGCTGGACACGTTCGCGCAGGTGGTCGGACCACTTCGACGAGCCTCAGGTGGCAAACGTGGTGGCCAAGGAGCTGCAGCCCTTGTTGGAGAGGGAGAAGGACGTGGCGCCCGCCATTACCACGGTGCATGGTGAGCGTGACATGCTGCACAAGCCATCGACCTGGATTGTTGGCGGCGATGGTTGGGCGTACGACATCGGATTCGGCGGTCTGGACCACGTGCTGGCTTCGGGCGAGAACGTAAATATCCTGGTTCTGGACACGGAAGTGTACAGCAACACCGGTGGCCAGCGCTCCAAGGCGACTCCCATGTCCGCAGTCGCCAAGTTTGCGGCAGGTGAGCTGAAGACCTGAATGCTAGGAGCTGGCTAACTCTTTTGACTACTAGGAATCAAAGCGAAATTCATATGCTGACCTTGAGAAGCTGTTTGTGATGACGACGTAAGCATATATCGTTTTATCGCGTGTAATAAGCACCCGTGCCATTTCCCAATCATGGTTACTACCCGACCGCAGGCGGCAAAGAGCGCCCGAAGAAGGACCTCGGCGCCATCGCCATGAGCTACGGCGACGTGTACGTGGCCTCCACCTCCCTGCACGCCAACTACGGTCAGGTGGTCAAGGCCATGACCGAGGCGGAGCGCTACCCGGGTGTCAGTCTCATCCTGTGCTACGCGCCCTGTATCATGCACGGAATCTCCTCCGGCATGTGCTCGGCCATTGACGAATCGAAGATGGCTGTCGAGACAGGGTACTGGCCGCTGTACCGCTACAACCCGGGTATCAAGGAGGACTCCAGTCACCACCGCTTCCAGCTCGACTCCAAGAAGCTCAAGGGTGACATCAACGAGCTCTTCTCGCACGAGAATAGGTACGTTGCAGTACTGAGCAAACCCGACTGGACTGGGCCGGGCTGTCGGGGTCCAGAAAGGAGTGGAACGCATTTCATCACTACCTCGACTCGGCCACGACCTTTTTAATGTACGCACTAAAATTTTGGGATAAGAGACATTCTCGACTGAATAGGTTGGCAGGTAATGTGGAAACGTCCAAACATGGTGCACATGATTACTTTATTATTGCTTTAGTAGTTACAACAGCAAGATTATTTTTTTACGGATTCTGCTTTTCCACGCAGGTTCCAAATCCTGGAGCGCAAGGCCCCCGAGGTGGCTAAGCACATGCACGAGGTGATGGACGAGTCCGTACACGAACGGTTCGACAAGTTCAAGAATCTCGCATCGGGTGGCCCGGGCATTGCCTCGCACCAAGACCCTCCCAAGCAGCAGCACCAGTAAACGAGAGCGACACAGCGACTTGCGGCTTCAGCTACAGAGGAGTTTTGGAGCTGCTGGGAAATGCAAGGATAAATAGCTATAGCTCGATTGCACAGCGATGATGTCGCCCTCCGCAGTCACTTTTGTGCGAGTTACTGGAGCGATGTTGTGTATGTTATTTGGGTTCATGCAGTGGAGACCTAAGTTTGCAGGTTATTTTTTTGCCTTCTTTTCGTGAGCTTGTGGGCTACTCGAGGGATTAGGGCAGCCTACATCAGGCTCAGGATGCACCCGGGGACGCTGACACCATGGACGAGCATTTGCTGTTTGTTATTATGGTCAGTTACGGCCGTCATCGCCCTTGTGGTCGTAATTTAGACCGGGTATCTTGAGAGGCACGTCATGCAGCTCTGGTTTCTCTGATCTCGTTTACTTTGATTGCGTGATGACGTGTGAAGGGATTACTCTTTAAATTAAAATTGAGTTATGTCGTACCTCCTGCTTTGAGGAGGGCGAGGCAGCGCGTCCGCACATTGCGGATTATTGCGTTCGCTGGTGTTGTTGGTTTGGTGATGGTCGTATGTGTGACCTGTCTCAGGGTTGTTTGGTTCTTACGAAGAGAGCTCCACAAGCATACTGCATCACGTGCCCAGCTTGAAATTATAGGAGAGATTGAATGCCGGTGCATTAGGCGTCTTAGAATTGTATTAAGTTTCGGTTTTGACTTTATTGTCATATAACGTGCCGTACGTCCAGTACGCCTGAGTTGTAAAAAGAAAGGAAGGTATCTTTCGTTTCCAATGTACAAGAGATGGCGAGTAAGGGCAAAACGCAACCAGTCTGCCACAGCCTGCATCCACAATAGACCATGTTGCTGAATAGTTCTATACCATGTATATGCACTGTATATTGATGTGTGAAGCAGGGGGGTATATCTTCACCCGTGGCAGGTACCCTGCGAAACCCTGCCATCCCGGTATTTCGGGGCACCCTCATCCAGTCACCCTAGTCAATCGATCGCTCAGGTTCCGCACCCACCACCAGCAACCAACGGAATCTGCCGGGTCGACAGCGGCCCAACTCCCTTACATTCTTGACAGCTGTAGCCGGTAGGGGTTAACGTAAGCGGGGTTGGGAGCTATATAACCAGCAGCAGATGGAATTCACCGGCGGAGGATGCGGACACTGCAAACATGGAAGCATTTGTGAGGTGCATGAACGGGGTAGAGATCGTATTGTTTGCAGGGTTGTAGGGGTTGTTACTGGTGGGCAAGTGGTTGGGATATTTAATGTGATGCTGGGTGGACCGGTTGCGAGAGCAGACGGTGGACTGATACTAAGACGGCAACTGCAGGTCAGCGAAGAACGCGAAGAAGCTATAATGTCTGAGGTAATGATATATAATAAGTATTGGACGCTGTGCGAAGCCGCAGGGCAGCTTCGATGGACTTTCATCATAGTATTATGGGATAAGTTTTATAGAAGATAACAACTTATGACATCTCCCTGCCTTTGTCACATGAGAGGTAAAGGACAATATATCCAAAGGTAATAATGCTGCCTCGATGTCAAGCAGATCATGGTGAACCTGCATCGCGGTTGACGAACGTTAATCCGATGCGATTGGACTGTTGCCTCGGCCGTGCGTCGGACGTTCCAAGGAGAGCTGGCTGAATCTTTAATTCGTCAACTTCGAGGTGAAATTCTGACCGTTTATCACGTTTCCGATTTGGATGAACTTTGGTTCAGCCACAAAGTTGACCATCAGATTTTTAGTCATTCTCGACTGTGCAATTATCCTGGGCAATCATCTAAATGGAGCACAAGATTTTGTTCCAATAAACATTTGGTCTAATTATAATTTAGATCCATACAATGACATGGTTTACACGGCTATTTCTGCTGTATACCTTGGGCGGATGGGCAGCCGTCGGAGCTTCAGGCCTAAACGAGCAGCAAGATGCTGAATCATATTTAAAGCTTCGTACTTTCGAAGGTAATAAATAGTACTAACAGATGGCATTTGTTGCCGCTGTCTAGCTGTCGTGCCATGGTCTGATGACATCGCTTGGACATTGTCGGCCTTCCATATCTTTGCTGGATTGCTTTGACGGTGTCTGATAATGCACTTAAAACCACATACAATGGTGTAATTTCATTTGTTCTATCTGTACAGCAGCTGAAACCCATGTGCCCGACACACAATGCAGTTCGCATACAGTCTCTTAACAGCACCTCTTAGGCAAGTCCCCATCTTCCCCCTGCATCTACCCTTAAGTGATCGTGCTCCGTCCCGCAAAAGCAAAAGTGTCTTCTGGACACCCATCTATTTCTCGGGGATCCTGCGCCTGGCCCAGCCCGCCCGCTCACACTATCGCCCCTATCGGCCTTTTCCCCTGGCTTCATAACTCGCGGCAATCCCAGACCCCTCTAAGGCAGCAAACGCCGCTGCCATCATCCCCAATGACGCAACCACCGCCACTGAACCCGCTGAGGCGGTCACAGCGGCAGTCACCGCCGTCACCACCACAACTACCACCACAACAACTGCTACTATTGCTACTACTGGTGCTACTGGTACTGCGAATGTCGCGGGAGTTGCCCCCTCTGAAGCCACTCAGTACCCGGTCACAATGGTGGTGGGTGCAAGAGGTAAGATGGAGGGTGTGCTAGAATCGGGAACATGACTGTCGGCCTTTTGCACGCGCGAGCTGACGTTAAATTTTACTTTTTGTCATGCGCGGTGTGGACCCGGCCTTTCAACTGTCCTTTCTCACTAAGCCGCGACATCTTTTCTGCCAGATCATCACCAGTACATTGAGCCCTCCATATGACATGGGGGGGATCACTACACATAATCGAAAGAATTAAAACAACGCACCGGACATGGACATATCCGGTATGCCGCTTTTCGCTCACCCATTCTTGTAATGGTGGGGCAGGTCCCACCGGCATTCCAGCGGATCTCGTCGGCGATGGCGGCAGCGCCGCTGGCGTCAATGCAGGCGCTGATGGCCCCGGCCCCGGTCCCGGCATTGTGACGGCTGTCGACGCCGCCGCCGCCGCCACGAAATGGATGTCAGTTCTGACGACCGAGGCGGGCCTATCAGGTGATCCGGCGTCACAGAACTTTCCGTACAGCGACGGTGACGGCGACGACGATTACGTGCTCGCCGGAGGCCGTGCCGCTGCCATGGCAGTGTTGTACAACAGCGTTGTACCCGCTGCCGAGGCCAACCCCGTTGGCGGCGACGACTGGCGTGGCGCTAAGGAGAAAGTACCTGCCGCTGCTGCTGCTGCTGCTGCTGCTGCTGCCCGCGCTTCGATCGGCAGCGTTAGAGCGACTGACGTCGGTGTCGGAGGAGGCGCTTCAACGGGTGCCGTCACCACCGCCGTCACCGCGACAGTCGCCGCTAGGCGGGCAGACGACGATATGCAGAGCAGCACCACAGCGGTCGAACCCGCTGCAGATAAGCTTGAAGAGGACAACAGTCTGTACGAACATGACGAACATGGCGAACCGTACGAACCGTACTATAAGGACGACGCTGGCCGGTTTGATGTGGTACTCACCGCTGGCAAAACCAGCCCGTGGTTCAACATCCCGAAAGTGAACAACAACAACGGCGGCGGCGGCGGCGGCGGCGGCGGTAGTTTTGGACTCGTTAAGGCCAACAGCATCGTCGACAGGATGAACGAGAACGGCGAGGGGATTGTCAGTAGCCGCGGCGGCGGCGGCGGCGGCGGCAGCGCTGGGATTGACTCCCGGGTTTCCGTTGGAGGTGAGGCGGCGGAGGTGAACGGGTCTTGAAAGCGCTTGCACAGGTTGGGTCCGTAGTACGGTGTGCGGCGGCGGTGTGGGCTGCAAGGTTCGATTGGGGGGCCCGCTTCCGACCGAGCAGCCGCTAGGTCTTCAGGGCCCCGGGGCCCCCGGCGGCCGCCACCTCAGCTGCCCTAGCCGGAGGTGGCGAGGTTCAGGCCCAACCTCCACCCACGTGAATGAGGGTGCTGGTAAGGCGATATGGTTTTGTATTCACCTTTTTGCGTGCGTGCGGGAGTTTACATCCAACATACCGAGTACCGTCGCGCAGTGTGATATCTGAAATGTTTGCGTATATGATATCGTACGGCACGTCCGCATGGGCCGCAACGCCTGGGGCCCTCCTCGCGATGTTGATTGTTGCAGGCAGCAGCAGAGGTGGCAGCAGTAGCAGCAGCAGTCGCAGCAGTAGCAGCAGCAGTAGCAGCAGCAATGAGAAATGGCAGAAGGTATGGTTGCAGGAGCAGAGCAAGGCGCTTGAGTTGAAGTATATTCTGTACGACGTTCTGGGCATTGAGCCCGTGTCTGGTGATGGCACCGAGGTGGTGCCGGTCCCCCAGCTGGCGACGACGGCGGCGGCAGCAGCAGCAGCTGGGGGAGACGAGCCTTCCACCGGCTTCGATCCATACCTGTACGACGGTCATAGTGATACCTTGCGACAGTACGGCGAGGATCTGTACGGCGGTGCCGACGCAACGGGTAGAGTTGGCAACAAGGACGATGTCAACCTAGAGACTGGGATGGCAGCGTCGGCGGCAGCGGCTTCGGACGACTATGCGGATAAGACCGCCGCTTTGGAGTTGTGGCAGGCGCTGTACGACATGTTTGGCGAGGACGACATCACGTTTGGGCCGCAACAAGAGGCGATGTACATCAAACTGTACGAACAAGATCCATCAATGTTCTGGGCCGTACACAACGAGGTGGTAGAGCGGCGCCGCCGACGGGACATCGGCGCTGTTGATTATGCGCAGCTCGAGTACAAATACGAGGACGAAGCGCGAAAGGGCAGCGGCAGTACCGACGCCGTCGCGAATAGCGGCACGTTTGGCAGCGGCGGCAACGTAGTGCGGGCCGCGGCGGACGAGTTGCGGAAGAACTCCAACGCCGTGTTGCGGAGCTCGTCGTCGCCCCCGCCAGTGTCCCAAGACAATTCCTGGTGGGAACGTGGGGACAATTACTGGTCTAGTGCATATGACTGGAACGACGGCGGAATGTACTATGACTACTCCAGCGCCGTCATCGCCAACGCGGACGTTGGTGGCGGCGCCGACGCTGCCACGGCGGATTCAAGCGGCCATGGCGGTACGGAAGATGCTGGCAAAAGCGCAGAATTGCGGGGTACGACGGAGCTCATTGGCGGGCGGGAGGGCCCGACGGCTGACATTCAATTCGAGGAAGACCCTTACGATGACGAGTACGGCTTGCCAACCGATGTCGTGCATGCTGTACGAGAGGTTTCGGATCCGTCCGCAGGCGAGCTTGTGGGCAGGACCAGCAGTAGCAGCAGCAGCACCGCCAGCGGCATCAAGGACCGCAATGATGCAGTAGTGAAGGGGCTCCGCGCACATACCCTTGTCAAGGCTAGCGACTACCTCAGCCCCTCAACTGCAACTACCGCTACTGCGACGACCACGGCGCACGCCGCTGCCACGGCAGCGGCAGGTGCTGCAGCCACCGCCGCCGCCGCCGCAGCAGCAGCAGCAGCAGCAGCTACCGCGGCTGCTGCAGCAGCTGCTGCTGAGTTGTCGGACGCGGCAGCTGAGATTGTAATGAGCGACACCACTGCCAATAGCTCCGGCCCCGTCAGCACGATTTTCGACAGGTCGACGGCGACAGCTGTGACAACTGACACGCCGTCCGTACAAGCCGTCGTACAGGCAGTGGCGGCGTCGCGCATCGCATTTCTGGAGGCCCTGTTCCACTGGCGGGCCGGAGCTGATAGTGGCGACATCGTCGCTGGATCAAGTCACGCAGGCGGTCCATCGGGCGATGAGCTGGCCGCCGCCGCCGCTGCCGCTGCCGCTGCCGCTGCAAGCCGGGCTGAGCTGTTGGCGCGAGCAGCCGCGGCGTTGCATCGCAGCGCGCTTTGGAACGTGCAGGGAGCCGCAGCAGCCGCTGCCGACACGACCGCTGCCAGCCCGCTTGTCCTCGCCACCGCCGCCGCCGCCGCCGCCGCCATCGATAACGCCAAACCGATGAGCAGCCCGTGCGTTGAGCCATCCGTGTCGTGGAGTGTCGCACTTTACGTCGCTGCCGGCGTTGCCGCCGGTACCGCCCTCCTCGTCGTCCTTACCGCAGTTGTTGCGGCAGTGTCAGGTCTCCGCCGGCGCGTCCGTACCAAACGAAGGGGCAGCCGCGGCGTGGCGGCCGCGGCGGCGGCCATGGTCTCCGAAAGCGATGGAAGCCAGTATCTTCCCTTTCAAGACGGCAAATATGCAGGAGCCCGGCTTTTCGGAATTTGGCTTTCTAGTCTGCAAAGAGTCGCCGGTTCGGTTCGCGGCGACGGCCAAGGCTGCAACAGTGATCGCTGTGGCGGCAGCGGCGTCGTCGGTGGCGGGGAGTGTCGCACGCGGGACTTAGAGAAGGGCCGCCCAAGCACGGACATCCATCGTCGGGGCAGCCGCGACGGTCTTGACGGCGGCGACGGCAGCAGCGGCGAGCTTCACATTCCGCTCTTGCACACCGAGCACTGTGACAACTCCGTCAGCCCCACGTCATCACTGCACGACAGTCCCCGCTCCTGGACTTCTCCGTCCGACGGCGACTCGCGATCTCTGGAGCGCCGGATCGACGGCAGCAGCGGACACGGTGTGTGCGGCAACGCCTTTTGCGGCCACGCTGATGCCGTACATGTTGGCTGCTACGGCGGCGGCGGCAATGCTCGTGACGCCGTACGGCATCTGTTTACCTCCACACCCGTCAGCACTCCTCCTGACACACCACGTCGATACCGCTGCTTTAACATGGACGAGCAAGATCTGCCGTACGGCCATCCCACCCTTGTCTCTGCCGCGTCCTACGGAACTGGTACCCGAGGAGCCATGTCGTTGTCGTACAATACTACGGTTGTGCCCATCGCTGCGTTTCCCTTGCGGCAATCGGCTGGCGCGAGTAACGGTAACGGAAACGGTAACAGTGGTGGTGACGGTGGCGGCGGAGGAGGTAGCGTCAGGAGCGGCCCCGGGGCTGTCTGACGGCCTCTAGAGTGTTCGGCGTGGAGATGTGTTTTGGCGCTGTTGCTTTGGCGGTGGTAATGTTGCTGTTATAAGCGGTGCAGAGGAGATGTGCAGAGGCGGAAGATATTGTGACTGTCTTTTTGCTGGAGAGCAAGGATGCATGGATGCAGAAGATGGCGAAACAGGGCAAGAAGAGGAATGCAGCCGGGTTTTCGAATCTCCAATGTGTGATTTGGCTTCTTGGAGATTAGGAGAAAGTGATCAAGATAAAGATGCCGTGACCGTAGTTATGCAAGCAGGAATTGAGCCCAAGCAAGTTGCATAGCGTTCGTGGTGGTGATCATGGCGGGGGTTGAAACCTGCATCTCTCTGACGGCCTCGGCACGCCTCTCTGCGATGCGGTTCGCTGGTGGTGGTTGTAAGTACGACATTCAATCGTGCGCATGGTGATCGAGTCCAGTACTCAGCCACTGCATGCAGTGATGAACCGCTTCTGCGGGGCTGTCTGCCTCTGTATGTCTGTCCATCGGGGAGACATACTTTGAGGGGATAACACCCCCATTGATGCCCAGTCTGGGGTCTGTCCGCCTGTCTGTCTGTCTGTCGTCGCCATTTTACCAGAATTAAGTCCCGTGATGTTACTTCGGCGGAGGGTGAAGATTTTCGTGGTCATGTCGGCAGTGGTGGAATTTTTTAAAATGTGTAATCCAGCGAAACTTCTTTACGAAGGAAACGTGGCAGCAGGGTTGGCAGGTACACAAATATCTCCGTAGCAGAAATGAGCCAGTGGAAGTGACCAAAGACTCTTGCGACGCTGTAGACATCGGCTCGAGGACATCAGCGACACATCCACATCCACATCCCCACACATACATACACATACACACACATACACATACACACATACACACACATACACGTGCCTCAGCAACGCAACGATGGGGGAAAAGCTTATTACGGCGAAGGGATAGCTGCGGGTTCCATGGGCTTATCACCCCCATCCCCCGCCAAACAACGATATCTAACCACACGCTGGCCACAGCATTGCACCACTGCGACCAACACAACCGCAAAGCAGGTCAAGAGCGATGCCTCACTTCGAGACGTTTGCAGGCATAAGCATATATACTCGTTTACATGTGCCATACTGCAGGATACATACATATATATTATAGGTATGTACATACAAATTTTCGTGCACACACGGAAATATATTCTTCACAACATCAGCAGTTTCATGAGGGCATCCCTGCAGCAGGGGTCGTGGTGGGGATGGCTTACTCAATGAGCTCTTACACACGTACATACAGACATACACACATACATGACAGATACACATCACACGACATAAACACGTTAACATGCCCCGGAACGCAGTCCGCCATCACCCGAAACCACCCCATTCTCTACTCCCCATTCCCCCAAGTATAACATACCCACACCCACACACACACGCACACCTATATTGCTGCGCACATCAAACCGCCCTACAGTCCCTTAAACCGACCCTATGACCACCTTCCTCCCTTCCTGCCTCCTCTTAGAGCGGAGGGTACCTCAACGTGATTCGGAAGCACCTGTGACCACCTTCCCCACCTTCCCCCCCATCGCCCCCCTCCAGCCTTCAGCCTCCAACATGCAGGCCCCTTTTCGTTTCGGTGTTGTTTCAATAACTAAACTGATGTTGCTGCTGCTGTTGCTTCTGATGATAATGATAATGCTGGGGCGGCGGCGGTGATATGACCTAGGTTTGAATGTGGGAGATACGCGCTTGCTAATGCCGTTGCTGCCGTTGCTGTTGTTACTGCTTTTCCTGATGCTTATGTTTTCTCTCCAGGAAGGCCAATTAAACGTTTTTGAAACGATGTTTTTTAACGGTTCATAACTACCCCTGGGATCTCGGCGGCTGTTGCGGTTGTGATTGTGGATGTTGCTGTTGGCCAGTTGGCGGTTGCGGTGGTTGTGGCAGTTGGTGGTTGGGTGACTCCTCGGGCAATAGGGAAGAGAGGGAGGTGGCGCTCACGGAGGGCCGCAGCTCAGCAGACGAGCCCGCCAGAAAATTGGCCTGTGTACGGCAGTACGATAGTCATCATATTAACTGATTTATGGCACGCAGAACATATATGACATGTACGTCTCGGGAATTCAGGCGGAAATCGCCGTACAGGTGGTGTGGTGCTATCTTTTCGGTTCTCCTCCTGCCCTTTCGCAACAGCCATACAGCCGGGCCCTATCCACGCAAACCCATGGCAGTAGCATTACCGGCAGCAAGACGTTATCGACACACAAAAACCCTCAACCGGCCCTTCTCCCCCTTTTCTCCCCACGTGTGCCGCCCCCGTCCACACATACCTACAAACCTACACACGTACGGCATGCACACACAGGATACATGTCCCTCCCCTCCCCTCCCCGCTCCAGGCATACATACAGGCAGGCGGCTGGCAGAGGTTAAGGCCTGACTTCTGCTCCCAGTCGACCCAGTCGACCCGGGTTCAAATCCGCCTGCCGGCTCCTCGGGTGTTTGAGGAGTGATGAAATGGGAGGTGGCCCCCCATCTTATGGACGGTGTAGGACGTGATAATATCAACTTGCGAGCTGACCAGGAACTAAGTTGATGCGCCGTTGATCCGCTAGATTTGGTTGGATGCTGGTGGTGAGTTGCCGAACCCAACGAATACATTCTGAAGTCGGATGGGGTGACGGATTAGGGTGCCCCTCTAGCAGGGGAGAGCAGGGACTGCCCCGGGAAAGGGGGCCGCTGGCGAAGTTGACCACCCTGTAACAACATACATACATACATGCACACACCTGCGACATGGGCCTTGTGAGTTGTCTCCGCACCAGCTGGGAGTACATTCCGCCCGAGGAGAGCAAGTCGTCGTGTGTGCCCACCTGGCGAAAGGGGGAAAGACGAACCACGAACGAGTGAAGGGAAAAGGGGGGATGAAGTGACGTGATGGGATGATGAGGGGGTGAGGGGGTGAAGGGGAGGAGGGAAGGGGAATCCGTCGCAATCATCTGGGAGATCTGGAGTTGAAGAAAGGAGGAGTGAAACGAAAGGCGGGAACATTAAACAGCAATTTGACCGAAACCCACTACACACACACACACACACACACACGCACACCAATCGTAACGCCATGCTGCTATCCTTCCTCCGTACCTCCTGTACGACACCCTTCCCGATGACGTAGATCCTGTCAGCCCCCTGAATAGTGGATAGGCGGTGGGCGATGACGATGACCGTACGGCCATGCATAACCCGGTCGAGGGCCTCCTGGACCACAGCCTGTGGGTTTCGTTTCGAAGGAGGGAAAGAGGTAGGGGGGGATAGAATGGGGGACGGCCACCTTTCACACCCTGCTGTCTGTCTGTCTTCTGTCTGCATACCACGTATGTATATATGTACATGCGTTTCCGTAAGGCCGTGGGCGTGGCCCCTTACTCACCTACCCCTATCCCTACCCCACCCCTCACCTTCAAACCCCCTCACCTTCAAACCCCCCCCATTCAGTTTGCACTCCACTTGCCCTCATGTTGCTCTCCGGAAGGGCCGATGCACCTTTTTCACTTCCCCAGGTCGTCCCCCTCCGCCCCAGCCCAATACCCCCCCAACCCCACCTCGCTATCCGCATCCAACGCACTGGTTGCCTCATCAAGCAACAGCACTCGGGGCTTACGGACCAGCGCACGAGCAATGGCTATCCGCTGCTTCTGGCCCCCGCTGAGCGTCACTCCCTTCTCCCCGCAGCCCGTCTCATAGCCCTCCGGAAAGGAGGTGATGAAGTCGTGCGCGTTGGCCTGGGTGCGGTTCAATGACAGGTTTTATTAGGGTTTTAGGGTTTTAGTTTGCACCACAGAAAAAAATAGAAAATGCATTATCATTATTTGACAAGTCGCAGCAGACACTGACAGAAACTGAGCAGTCGAGAACCAAGTCGACGACCGCGCTTCTTGAGGTAATGTGTGAAGACCATGCCGTACATACACGTAAGCATAAACCCCCCCCATAAACCCCATCCCCCCCTTGGCACCTCCCCCCCACCTGCTTGGCTGCCTCCACCACCTCATCCTCCGTGGGGACTGTCGTACAACCGTCCTCGGATTCCAAACCCAGCACGATGTTGCGACGGATGGATCGAGCGTACAACACTGGCTCCTAAAAGGTGTGGGTTTTGTTTGGGGGTAGGGGGTAGGGGGAAAGACGAACGAGTAGGGGTAGGGGTAGGGGAGACGAGGGATTCAACAGCCATGTTCTATATAAGGAACGTCGTGTCAAAGCGCAATAGCCCTTGCAATAGTCTTCATAAAACGCGTCCCGCTCGGACCGCCCTAGTTCCAAGCTTTGGAGTTGCCCACAGCTTGGAACTTCCCGTACTGTACTGTCGTAGTTTATATAAACTAAAACCCTAACACCCTGGATAGTACTGAGCAATTAAACTTCAACTTCAGTGACAAAGCCCTGGATGGTACAACCCGTAAGTAGCAGTCGAGCCCTCCCCCCTCCAAAACCAGGCCCCCCCCGGCCACCATCACAGCCCCCTCCGGTCCCAGTACCTGGCTAACCAGCGCCACCTGCCGCCGCAACCACTTGGGATCCAACTGACCTAAATCCGTACCGTCAATGAGGATCCTTAGAGGGAGAGGGCGAGAGAGAGGGAGAGAGAGG